TAAATTAAAGTTCTGAGCCGCGCCCTAAATGCTAAAACGATGACAATCGTTTGGAAGAAATAAATAAATAGTAATTTTTGTTGGCTTACTAACTTTTTAGCCTGTTTTTGTTTTAAAAATGCCGTCCGACTTGTAAGTGTAGGTGTTTCTTTGCTCGAATAATTTATGGGGTTTTTTATTGCTGATCCATCCAATGTTATTTATGATAATTAAACGTCTAATAATACAACATTTTAACTGTTCTGTTGTCATTGAATGGCCTGAATGTTACGGTCAGCGGTTTTTTCAGGTCTGCAAGGTCAGGGCAGGGCGGCCTCCCATGGCCAAGAACTTGAGAAAAGAGATGCGCAGCTTTTCCCAGCATTTTTTAATAAAAAAATCGTATACTTTTCTTCCAAATATCCTTCACGTATACTAAAACCCCGTGTTGTAATAAACCGTGACAACGGAGCCGTTCTACAATTAATGTTTTTTATATATTTATTGACTTGTTTCTTTAAGTCGTACCTTTTGATTGTATACTGTCTAAGCATGGCTTTATTAAATAAAGATACAAGTTGTTCAGTTAACTATACTGCCCAAAGAAAAGAAACTGATAGTATCGTCGGTTTTCCCTTAAAAAGAAAAGGATAAGTTGTAAAGATTTTACGATTGTCTTTCAATTATACGAACTGTTTGCAGTAAGCCACTTTTAAGATAAAACTTTGTTCAGTTATTGACCAATTAATGATTACGACATTATTACCCTTTTTGTTTCAACTCTCTTTCAACAGAAAGTTTTAATTGTGCATTTTATAATATTATCGTTTTTACACTGTTACTAATTTATCTTTATTCGGTTGGATAATTAATCTCGGGTTTGTCTTTCTCCGTCGGATCGACAAACTTTAAAGCACAAGGTTTTAGCACCACTTTAAGTACAAAGTATGTTCAGAATAGATAAAAGAAGTAAGGATTTTTTAAAACCAAACCACGAAAGTTATGTTTATTATTTGAGTCTGTACTTCATTTCAAAGGCAAGTTCAAGGAACCTTATGAGGAAAATTGTATTCGTTTGTTTTTCGCGAATGGCAAGTCAAAGAAAATATTTGCCGACGCTAAACGAGCAACTAGAACAATCTCAAAGTTTTCCATTTGTTGTAAGATATAACAAGTCAAAGAAAAAATTTGCCTACGCTAAGCGACGAGAACGTTAAGATTCATCTCAAATTTATCTGTTCGTTGTGACAAGTCAAAGAAAAAAAAATTCCCACGCAAGGCTAGCAAGATTAATCTCCAAGTTGTCAATTTCTTGTATAGCAAGTCAATGAAAGAACTTGCCGACGCTAAGCGAGAAAGTTAAGATTTATTCCCTATTTTTCGTGGTCCGCTTGACCAATTAATATCATTCAATTAATTAAGGTTTTTAAGTTCTCATCTCGGGCACTAACTTCCCATCTCAACCCCACCTTTTGAATTTTCCTCCTTTTTTCGAATCCCGCTCGTGACACTTTTTTATCTCAATTTAAAAACTTTAAAATTGAGTAACTTGTCTGTTAATTGTATAGCAAGTCAAAGAAAAAATTTCCGATTCAAGGCAATAAATTATCTCCAAATTGTATATTGTTGTCTTATTTCTTATATGGAAAATCAATGAAAGCATTTGCCCCCTCGAAGCGAGCAAAAGTAAGTCACCTCAAAGTTTTTATTTGTTGTATGTCAAGTCAAAGAATTTTCCTATGCTAAACGAACAAAATACATTGTCTTTCACTTTTTCTAAATGACAAGTCTAAGCAGGTATTTTTCTATCCGAAGCGTAAGTTAGATTCATCGCCGAATCCTATTAGTCAATGGCAAGTGTATCTAAGAATGAATTTATCCCGAACTAGAAAGTTTAAACCGTCTTTGAGTCACGACATTGTGAATGGCAAATCAAAGTATAAATTAGCCGACGCTAAGCGAGAAAGCTCTCGCACCCCTCCGAATCGAGCATTTTTCAGATAATTAATTTGTCTATTCAAATCAAAAAAGTTTTTATTGTTCAGTTTGATTAAAAAGACCTAATAACTTGATTGGCTAAAGGTCTTTGACCCTCTGCTACCTGCTGTAGGGTCAAGTGTACCCCCGGGCTTTGTTCCTTTATCTTTATTAAAATTTGCCCAATAAAAAATACCCTTTCTCAAATACCGTTACTTTGCCCAAACCCTTGTAAGCAGAAATGTTACTCTCATAAGCAAACAAACTTTCCTCGTGCACGTTTCTCGGCGATTTCATTGAGGTATTATTTTAATTTTTTAACTCTTTGAAGCCAATTTAAGTTTTCTTAGTGTATATACTTTTCTTTTGGTATTTGAGTGGAATAAACATATGTATTCGACCGGTAAAGGGGGGCAGATAGGAGTAAGTGGGTTACTCCTGGTTGTCCTGACAACATCACAGCAATCAACCTGTTTGCTTTTATCGGAAGACGCACTCCCCTTCTTGAAAGAAACAAAGAAAAAACCCAAGGCCGTTTATCTTTTATTTTCATATATTTCACGTAACTTTATTCCTTCACCTATAATTATTACTGTGAGGGGGATTTTTTTTCTCTTCTTCGTTTCTCGCCTTATAAACAGTATCTAATTTTACAGATCCAATCAAGCGATTTCCACAATTGATTTCATGCATATCCCACGACCCACAGATCGAATATCCCCCCTCCTAGTTCTACTATAGAAAATACACAACGTCAAAATTGCAATGTAGACAACTCCTATTTAGATTCTTTCTATTTGATCATTGCTTTGACGGTCTTGAAAATAATAAAAAGGATTTTTTTTCTTCTTAACCCTTCATTGATGAGATAATTGAAAATATTGAACTCTGTGACTATTTAAAAAAGTATATATTCCTTTTTTCTTCCCTCTTTTACTAGGTTACCTTCACTAGACACTCAGCAACCCTGGTCAGGTAGCTGAATTATATAAGTGCCACTTGGCACACATATTTACATGTGCGTATACAAAATCAATCTGATTTTCTCGCAGCCTGCCGGCAATCCCTCTTTTGTGTAATTTACAATAAAATACCCCCATATTACCCGAAGCTATTAAGGCCCTCCTCAGTCGACAAAAGTGGATATACACGATTTTCTGACTCGAGACGACGAATACAGTTTCCCCAGATCTCCCACCCACAATGTCTATCACTGGATGCTCCCCAGAAGTCACTGATGTACAATGTTCAACCTGATTAGTCAGGATACCAATCAAGAAAAGTCTAACTCACTGTACCCAGAGAGACTCAATCCTCTTGAACCAAGTCCATTGAGAACACAGACCCTGACTCGGAATCTTTGGTTCCTCAGGCAGGCCTGGGTGAACTGAGGTAACTTCCCTCTAAGACCTATGTTACAACATTTCATCTCCACATACCATAAGCCCATAAGGGTAGGTAAATTATACCTTGTGTTTTAATAATTTAAATATTTGTTGGTTAATGGTAGACAATTTTTTTAATAATAATAAATAAAAACATTATTTATTAACACATTTGGGAATTTACACCCATCATCAGAAATCTTGTATAGTAATAGAATAATAATTTACTTTATCCAGATTGGATTTGAAAAGATATGACTTTATATCTGTAACTAATCAATTTGGACATAAAGATTAGAAATATGGGACACTGCTAAACCATCCAGCATTCAAAGAATATGGTTCTTTTAATCCACAGTCCTCAGAACCTTTTTCAATGCTCTCTTCTACTTTTCCAAAACTAACCTTTACCATGACCTACAAATCCTTACATCCCAATCCATTAGCCAGTGTCCAGCATTACTCGGTCAAACGACTGAGGTGGAGATGCCTCTAAGACTTCCATGTACATACTACCGGTTGTACGTAGCTATTCAGAAAGCTGGTAGAGCAACTTTGGTCATAAGTGACACTGCGAAATGATAAACAGTTTAGGCGTTGACATGGCGCTCATCACTGTACGGTAAAGGTTCCGGGTTCGAATCCAGCGGCCCTGCATTCAAACCTGACATAATTACAAATGGACTCCTCCCCCCCCCCAAAAAAAAAAAACCAAAAAAAACCAGACACCCGAGGGTTGATATGACCTCTGCTGTTACCCAGTAAAAAATAAATAATATACGCATATAATAAATTGTCTTCCATTGGTAATTTTAATTAAGCCATTAAGAGGGATTTTTGTTGAGGTCTGTAGAGAGGAATTTGTAATTGGGTCATCTTCAATCATCTTGGTCTGCTTGCAGGGTCTAAAAAGAAAAACCGTTTACATTAATCTTTTTGTGAGATTTCTCCGTGTGGTCTGACGGGTGATGAGCCTGTAATTTGGTCGATCAGACCCATTTTGGCATTTTGCCAACCTCTTCCAGACCCAGACGCAACACTGAAGGTGGCAAAATGACGAAATCCATCTGGCAGACCAACTCAGTGAGGATTGGTAGACCAAAATGATCAGTAATGACCAAATTATACATCTTTTTTATTGCTTTATAAGTATTACAAACCTGGGAGGGGGGAAGAATCTCGAATAAATAGTGCCTTGGGAGAATATTACACTTTTTCTCATGTAAAAATTATCTGAATCCCTTTACAAAGCACATGCATAAAATAAGCAAAAAGTAAAGTAATTTCTGTCATACAGGGAGGCTTCAAAGCACTTTATTGTACATTTTTCATGCCATTATTAATTAAAAAGCTGTGGGCTCTGCCTGGATTTGAACCCAGCATCATCAGTGTGGCAAATACAAATCAGGCACCCTAATCACTGCTATTTCGGTCCATACACAAAAGATAAATATATTCTTAATTATTTGAATTTTTTTTGTTAATTACTCCTACGTATTGTCCTCAATGATTACACCTTAAAGAAATATTTGAGTTTCTGTGATAATCAGTTGATCCCCTTAAAATGAGAGGTCAATAAATATATTTTTCTGATATAAAAATGTATTTTATGTTTTATTCTTTTCACAGTAAAGAAATTGTTGAAATTTTCTGTTATAGGTTCGGCTGTTAGGAGATTGGACCCGGGATGACTAGTAAGTCAGAAGACGTTCTGCTTCAAGTGTCCCAGGTGAAGTACAAAAAGGGAGATGGGACCCTCTACCTAATGAGCGAGCGTCTCGCCTGGATATTAGATCATAAAGACACTGTTTCAGTCAGTCACAGATATGCTGACATTAAATGTAACTTTTTTTTTTTTTTTTTTCAATAACAGGCAGTATGTTGAATTTGTTTTGTGTTTCTTCTAGTGCAGAAAATTTCCCCAGAAGGGAAGCCCAAAATCCAATTACAGGTGGTTCTTCATGATAACACAACATCCACCTTTCAGTTTGTCTCTCGTCAGGGAACAAGTGCAGCGATTAAAGAAAGGGACAAGGTTAAAGACCTCCTTGTCAATCTGCTTCCCAAGTTCAAACGAAAAGTCAATAAGGAGTTAGAAGAGAAGAACAGGTACATTTTTTCCTTCTTCTTTTCTTTCTTTTTCAATGGCGTGTGTCAGATGTGCTAAAAAACGTTTTTCAATGTTAAGACTGATGATGGAGAACCCAGGTCTTCTCCAGTTGTACAAAGATCTCGTAATGACTGAAGTTGTTACATCAGAAGAGTTTTGGGCAAGGCATGCTACTTCATATCTTAATAAAGACGATTACGCTAAACAGCAAGTCGGTGTTTCTGGTGCCTTTCTTGTAAGTTTTGAAAATTATCTTTGTCTTTGTAGGTTTTTTGATTCCTGTTTACTTACGCGTCACGTCTTTTTTCTGTGTGCAGGCAGATATCAAACCACAAACAGATGGCTGTAATGGTCTGAAATACAATCTTACCCCCGATGTCATGGAAGCTGTTTTTCGTACTTACCCAGCCGTAAGGCAGAAGCACAGGGAAGCCGTACCTCACCGTATGACCGAATCTCAGTTTTGGACCAAGTTCTTCCAGTCACATTATTTCCACAGAGATAGGATAAATGCCGGCACTAAAGATCTTTTTACAGATTGTGCAAAAATTGATGATCAAGGTAATTTCACCCACCACCTATTACAACAAAAAAAATCATAATTTACAATTAATTAATCTTTATAAAAGGTATTGGTTGAGATAAAAAGTCAGTGTCATGAGTGGGATTTGAACCCACTATCTTCAGCTAAATACGCCGCTGCTCTGCCACTTGAGTTATCGTGGCTTCGATCCGCTCGGACACGAACTTCCCATCTCAACCTCACCTCTTGAATTTTCCCTCTTTTTTACCATTTTTCAAATGTTATGTTATCTATTTGATTCTCGGTGACAAATGAAATGGCCACGGGGAGCTTTTGTGAAGATATACTTCAGTTTAATTATTAAATCCATTACAGTTTGTGTACTCAACCTCACCTTTTGAATTTTTTTTTTTTTCATTTTTCAGATGTGTAATCTATCTAGTGGGATCCCGCTTATGACATTGACTTTTTTTATCTCAACCATACCTTTCATAACGATTAATTAATTGAAAAAAGTTAATTGGTTAATTAGACCACAAACTGTAATGGATTTAATAATTAAACTGAAGTATATCTTCACAAAAGCTCTCCGTGGCCGTTTCATTTGTCACCGAGAATCAAATAGATAACATAACATTTGAAAAATGGTAAAAAAGAGGGAAAATTCAAGAGGTGAGGTTGAGATGGGAAATTCATGTCCGAGCGGATCGAAGCCACGATAACTCAAGTGGCAGAGCAGCGGCGTATTTAGCTGAAGATAGTGGGTTCAAATCCCACTCATGACACTGACTTTTTATCTCAACCAATACCTTTTATAAAGATTAATTATTTGAAAAAAGTTAATTGGTCAATCGGACCATGAACTGTAATGGATTTAATAATCTACAATTTTATTATTTTTTAGTCATGTCAAAAGCAATGGTGGAAGGTGTTGAAGACCCCCTAGTAGACATTGGATCGTTTGAGGATGCTAACATTGACGAATGTTACGGAAATTCAAATGATGTGAAAGGGCAAACACAAAATATAGTTCACCAAAGTATGATCAAAAGGTAATTTATTTCTCAAGAAATAAAGAACTTAAAAAAGTCATTTAATAATGATGAAACTAGTACTTGATAGGAATTGCCGGATGACTTGTTCTGATATGAAAATCACGTCTGAATTTATTTCTTATTAGTGTTTTAAAACAAAGAACTTAACAACAAAGTATTTAAATTTACTTTTTTCTTTCTATGTAGGTTTAATCAACATTCAATAATGGTGCTTAAAGCTTGCCAGAATAATCCAACTGTGAATACTGCTCAAAATGCTTCTCCTCTTAAGACAGGAAATGGTACGGCTGTGATGAACGGAGAGAAATCCCCTCCCTCCAAAATGAGAAATCAGGTGGAAGAAGTCAGCACAAAAAAAGTATTTATTGTGTATTACAATTATTTTCATTTAGTTTTGGTTATTAATTATTTATTTCAAATTTAGAGGCGGATTCAGGAAAAGATAATGTATGAAGATTTAGAAGGCAATGATGACCAATCTAAAACTACCTTTATTAAACTTAAAATGGCTCATGTGGGTTGATTTTTTAAAGGATATTTTCAATAAATTGAAATTGAAACAAAAAAGATGTAAAAATGGCATTTCAGGTAGGTGGATATTTTCAAGGGCCGTCTGCGGCAGAGGAGTCGTCGATACAACCGGTTACTGAGGCCGAGCTCCCCCTTTTGGCCCAGGCTGTGAATCGAGTTAAGGAAGAAGTTGCAATGTTTCCCCTCCATTCTGTGAACCACTCTCTTGTTCCTCCGGCGACAGCTGTCGCTGCACTTGGAGAGTTGACTCCAGGGGGCGCTCTTATGAAGAGTCACCACAATGATTCGCTTGCGCGTAAGTTTCACATTTTTTAAATTAACCTTGAGGCTGTGATTTTTCATCACAATCATTCGATCACAATTACTTTTAGAACTGGTGAGCGATAATCTAGCTAAGGAAGTCCGAGGACTCTACTGTTCAATATGTGAGCTTTTAAGACATTTCTGGGCATGCTTTCCACCGACAACACCAGAACTTCAAACAAAAACTGAACATCTCCATCAGGCCTTGCGGAGGTTTCACAATGTCAAGCTGAAACCTTTTGAAGTGAGTAACACTCGGTTATTTTTAATTACATACTAATTAAAATTATTAGCAAGAATTACATTTATTATCTCAATATTTAGCATTTATACTAACATCAATTTTCTTTTATTCAATCATTTGAGATTTGAACCTGTCAAAATAAAAATGCTGCTGTGATCTACACAACACTACAAGAGTGATGAAACTTTCACTTGATAGGAATTGCCGTATGAGTAAAAGTGATATAAAATAGTGTTCTGACTTGTAGGTGCAAAATTATTACAGCATAATCATGAATCATGATGATAGAAAAATGAGATTTAACTAATATCTTCTTCAGAACCAATCCCCCCAACATTCAATAAACATGTTGTTCTAAGTGTGCTCTAGTTGGGAACATTAAACAATTGTTTTGTAAAGCCTTTACTTTTTGATCGTACAGGCTTAAGGAAACTTTGGGGCAAAGCTAGTAAAACTAAACTACACTCAACTTTCAATATAGTCTAATATGATGAAGTCAGCTCTAACAGTACAAACTACTTATTGAAATAATATATATCCATGGATGTGACCAGAGAATTTGTTTGATTTATCAAAGTTCAAATAATTGAGAGTTTACTGTATAATAAAATGGGATCTCCTTGTGGACTGCAGTGGGTGTTCACTGTACCTGCCACACCAGCTGTCTTGCATTCTATTCCTGACCACTCCCTTGTAATTTTTCTTTCTTTACTTGTACTTCATTTGTAATTCTTCTTTACCTGAGAATAATTTGAAAAAGGTTTTAAATGGTTTGGCCTCTTGTCCGCAATACCCAATTGGTAGTCAGGCATAGCCCTCTTATATTACATTAATTATTAAGGCTAAACTACACGGTTAAATAATAAAAAGTTACTGTAATGAAATTGGCTACTAGATTTTTTAATTGTGCCTGCAATAGTAATGAAACTTTCACTTGATAGGAATTGTCTTATGAGTAAAATTGATATGAAATAGTGTTTTGACTTGTTGACTCAAATACATTTTTAATTAATCATGATCTACAATGTCACGTCTGAAAATTTAAAAAAGAGTAGCTTCTATAATACCAAACATTTAACATCTTAAGAAAGAAAAAAGGTTTATTTATACTAAGAAAAAAGAAAACGTACAGATAAACATAACAAGAATAAATAAATTGTAAACCATACATCTATTGTCAGGCTGTCCATCTGCTGGAAAAAAAGATAGACCCCCAACATCTTAAGCCGACTTGTACAATAAACAATGTTGTTCTAAGTGCGCTCTAGTTGGGAACAGTAAATAATTGTTGTGTAAAGCCTTTCTTGTTTGATCATTAAGGCTTAAGGAAACTTTTGAACAAAAAGCTAATAAATGTAACTTAATTAACTACTAATTATTTAGAGATCGTGAGGTGCGGTCTAGTGTGATATAGGTTTAGAAAAACATCTTCTTTATCATGCCTTTCGCACCTTTCGATCTTTATGATCTCTGAAACATTGGCACGATAAAGAAAATGTTTTTCTAAACCTACATCACACTAGACCGCATCTCACAAACTCTAAATAATCATTAATTAACGATCACTAAATACTACACACTTAATTAACTACCTAAAATTGGCCACTAGATATTTTTACTGTGCTTGCAAGAATAATGAAACTTTCACTTGATAAAAATTGCCATATAAGTTACAGTGATACCAAATGGTGTTCTGACTTGTTAGCACAAATGCATTATCCTTTAATCTATTATTTAAGAATTATACCAATCCTTCTGTCCTCTACTTGTTGCTGTCTGGTACAATAAAACAATTCATTATAATGGAATTTTAGTTGGGAACAGTAAACAATGGTTGTGTAAAACGTTTACTGTTCAATCATTAAGGTTTAAGAAAAAATTGACAAAACTCTGGAAAAGTTAAGTAATAAACGAAGGTTTTCTGAACTTAAAAATGATATCAAATAGTGAACTTACATGATAGCACAAATGCATTAACGTTAATAGTCATGATACATGCTGGAATGCATATAAATATATACATAAACTTGTAGGCACAAAATGCTTTTCACAAAATAATTGTTGTTTAAAGCCTTTTTTGTTTGATCATTAAGGCTTAAGGAAACTTTTGGAAGAAAAAAAACACAGTTAATTTAACAAAATTGGCTACTAGATATTTTTTATGTGCTTGCAAGAATGATGAAACTTTCACTTGATAGGAATTGCCGTATGAGTAAAAGTGATATGAAATAGTGTTCTGACTTGTAGGCATAAAATGACACAGCATGATCATGATCCATTAGGAAAAATTAGTTAACAACAGATATCTCCAATACCAAACCCCCCCCACATCTTAAGCCGACTTGTACAATAATTGGTATTGTTCTAAGTACGCTCTAGTTGGGAACAGTAAATAATTGTTGTGTAAAGCCTTTCTTGTTTGATCATTAAGGCTTAAGGAAACTTTTGGAAGAAAAAAAACACAGTTAATTTAACAAAATTGGCTACTAGATATTTTTTATGTGCTTGCAAGAATGATGAAACTTTCACTTGATAGGAATTGCCGTATGAGTAAAAGTGATATGAAATAGTGTTCTGACTTGTAGGCACAAAATGGCACAGCATGATCATGATCCATACTAATATTTGGACAAATTAGTTAACAGATTTATCATCTCCAATACCAATCACCCCAACATCTTAAGCCGACTTGTACAATAAACAATGTTGTTCTAAGTGCGCTCTAGTTGGGAACAGTAAATAATTGTTGTGTAAAGCCTTATTGTTTGATCATTAAGGCTTAAGGAAACTTTTGAACAAACAAAAAAAAGTTTAATTTAACAAAATTGGCTTCTAGATTGCAAGAATGATGAAACTTTCACTTGATAGGAATTGCCGTATGAGTAAAAGTGATATGAAATAGTGTTCTGACTTGTAGGCATAAAATGACACAACATGATCATGAACCATGCTAATGTAAGCGGACGACGGCGCAGTGGCCGAATTATCTCTCTATATTCGCTTGCTTTTTCTCTGAACGACAAGAGATTAGTCGGCGTAAGCGCGTCGCTACTTATTCTTGTGTAGGGGAAGGTAAGGTTCCAGAATTCAATAAACCAGAGAGTATATTCAGTAACATTTATTGTACTCAATTCCTTCTTTTAACGGTACACAAACCACAGAATCTTCATTAATCTACAAGTCAGCCACAACTCTAAATCTGGGATGAGTCTATCAACAAAGGGATTTACCCCAAATAATGCTCGCCACGATCAGTGTCCACAGCATCTTTTCTCTTGACCGCTGACTTGGCTCGATTGATCGCAATGGCTGATCCTCGCTGGCTCTGGCTGGCTGAGTCCTCTTGTTGAATCCCAGACGGAGTGTGGCTGCTTCTTTCCCGGTCCTTGGTCTTGATTGCCTAGGGGGCGAGTCACTGGTTTTGACTGCCTGGAGTGAGTTTTTGATTTTGACTGACTTGATTTCCCAGTCATCCCTTTTATACCGGGTCTCTCCCGGAGTAGGGGTGGAAAGGAAACTCAAAAGTCGGGGAAGTTCCCACGCCGCGGGTGGGCCGGCGAAGACCGGTGTCGAGCACAGGGTTGATGCGACCCTGATTTACGATGTACCCCGTGGCTACGGATTTTTGACCATGTGACAACTCTTCAGCTTTAAATAACTAGACGATAGATATTTATTTGATCGGTTGTCCAGCTATTGCTATTTTATGTTCCCCAGGTTCGTGGGAAACAAGACGTGGGTCAAGCCTGGGTCTGCCACACACTTCGACGTTCTTATCTATCTGTCTACCTGGGTAACCATTTCCAAGCTACGTTTGACAGATTTGAGGGGGACATCACGTCGTTCCCGTCTGGGTGGTCACCCTTTCAGAGTTGCAACCTTTGTCCCCTTTCATCGTTTACCCTATTTTGTTCTTATTTTAACAACTAAAACTTATCGCCAAGACGGGGACCGGCTTACACTAATATTAGGACAAATTAGTTAACAGATTTATCTCAAATACCAGTCCCCCCCAATATCTCAGCCGATTGTACAATAATTGGTATAGTTCTAAGTGCGCTCTAGTTGGGAACAGTAAATAATTGTTGTGTAAAGCCTTATTGTTTGATCATTAAGGCTTAAGGAAACTTTTGAACAAACAAAAAAAAGTTTAATTTAACAAAATTGGCTTCTAGATATTTTTATTGTGCTTGCAAGAGTGATGAAACTTTCACTTGATAGGAATTGCCGTATGAGTAAAAGTGATATGAAATAGTGTTCTGACTTGTAGGCACAAAATGACACAGCATGATCATGATCCATACTAATATTTGGACAAATTAGTTAACAGATTTATCATCTCCAATACCAATCACCCCAACATCTTAAGCCGACTTGCACAATAAACAATGTTGTTCTAAGTGCGCTCTAGTTGGGAACAGTAAATAATTGTTGTGTAAAGCCTTTCTTGTTTGATCATTAAGGCTTAAGGAAACTTTTGAACAAACGAAAAAAAGTTTAATTCAACAAAATTGGCTTCTAGATATTTTTATTGTGCTTGCAAGAGTGATGAAACTTTCACTTAATTGTTATGTAAAACCTGTACTTTTTTCTGCAGTTAAGTTTGTTGTGCAAAAGTATTTTAATGAATTTATAGACTTATAGATGAATTAATTTAATTATTTTTAATTTTACCATGTTTCAGAATAAGGTGATGATAGAATTTTCCCCATTGACACAGCAGTTGACAAATCATTTAAATCAACTCCTAGAGACAGCCTACAATAAATACGATATATGGCAGTCCAGGAGGAAACAATTGCCCAACATTGGTCTTAGGTAACACTATTGGTAAGTTATTTGCAAGCATATCTTCAAATTGGACAAAAATTTAATCAAAAACGTTTTGTTGTAGGTGAAACGATTTGTATACTGATACAAAATTTAGTTAAAAATACCAAATAAGTTAAGCTAACTACCTTGAAGTCAGTCAAATTTGACAGGAGACCACTTCAGTCCTTATTTTCAAAATGGTAGTCGTTCATCCTCATTAGGGGCTTCCCTTTTGATTTGCTGTCTTTGTTGTCTAGTCTTTTAAAAATAAAATATTCTATTGAATTCCATATATTGTAAAATCCAAAAGAAAGGCACTGATTGTACTTTTTATATATATTTGTTTTGTTTTTGCAGTTAAACATCATTGAGCTTTTTTTTTACTTGACATGTTTTGTAATCATTTAATACAAAAATTTCAAAGTAACAAAATGTTGTAGTCTTTTAAAAGATAAATGTATTTGTAATGTATATTTATAATAATATGCGAAGACACGTCTTTTTTCATCTATGTCATACTTATAATCCTGATAGATTTCATTTTTAAATTTTTTACAACGATGTATATTTATAATAATATTGATGAAAACATGTAATTTTTTATGATAGTTACAAAAACTGTTGTGAAAATTATAACATTTTACTTTCTTAAACAAGTCTAAAATGTTCTCTTTGTTTTGCTATTTATTTTGAATGTAAATTGTTTTTATTTAATTTTACAGAGAAAAAATTTACTATTTTGTACATTTTATATTGAACTAAAAATTTAAAATAAATTTTAAAAAATATAGCCATGTAAAACACTTGAATTATTAAGTGCCTCGCAGTTAGTTACGTATCCTGGAGGAGTAAATGAAAATTGTTTAAAGATGTGGACAAAAATATTTAAAAAGGGTACCTGTTTAAAAAGGGTTTTCCCTTAGTTAATTTCTAATTTATATGTGTAAATTTAGACTATTTAAATAAAAACAGAATCAATATTATATTTTAAGAAGTTAGATTATTATGTATATACCATGAAATGTGTAAATAACGTGGTATTCATTGTGTGATTGCTATCATAAACTCTTTATCATTAGTTTCCCCTCCCTCTAATTTAGTACTACAACACAAAAATGTAAATGTGAGGGTTTTATTTATTCATTCTATTTAATTTCCACCTTTTATCTTTTCCATTGAGTGGGGATGCTGAAAATACAACTTTCTTTATGTATGTATTTAAAAAAAAGAAAATTGTTGTTGGTTCATTGTAATAAATTTTTGTTACATTTAATCCCGTTTTGTTATTCCTCTGCTGAAAATATAATAGACTTAACCAAATTGCTTACTCTAGGACAAGTAGGTTTGTTTTCAAAATTATGTATTTATAATTTTTTAAATTATTGGTTTACATTAAAAAAAGGAGTGGATGCTTACTATAACTACAAATTTTCAAGGTTTTAGCCAGGAGTTTCTTTAAAGGTCATATTGGAAAGATTAATTTGTAAATTTTTCTAAGAAGATATATTTAGTGTTAAAAACTAAAAATTGCAAACTATTGGGATGAGCCCTGTCATATTAATCAAAAAACTGCAATTATCCAGAAGCAAGTAGTAAAATAGATCAGTCTGGTTTGTTAACAAATTAACATACTATAAACTGGATCAGTTGATATATGTAAGTTGAAAAAAATGGACAAGGGTAAATTATTGTAGTTTGGTTTCTGATTATTTCAGTCTTCCTGCCGATCTTCCCTTTTTTGTTCACGTATTTCAGCACGCCATCTTCAGTTTTTAGTAATAATTTTTGTTAAAACCTGCAGTCTCATTGAGTCCTGGAGAACCTCTAGAGCAAACTTCATGCTTGCTTTGAACAAGTGCTCATTAAGCTTACAGCTTTTTACCAAATATTTTTCAAAGACCCAGTCTGTACCCTTCAAAAGTCTGAGGAGTAGGAATCCTAGCCCTCACAAACCTTCACTCCAACAGAATACATGTTCCACTGTTTCCTCTTCTTCCTGGCCATATCTGCACAGGCTTGTTTCTGCCACTCTTGAGTCTAGTGACCAGTTAACAATCCAATATAATTCTAATTTTGACAAATCCTAGATTTAAGTTGCCGTTAGTTTCTATGACGGTACTTTGGCAAAATTTTTCGCATGCCTTTGTCATGGACTAAATTTCCATTGAATGGAGGGCTTATTTTTACTATTGTCTAATAGAATCATGCTTTTTGTAGTTTGGTATGCCACAAGAGGGGTCAGCACCAATAGGATTCCTCACCAAACTTTCCTTGGCCAATTTATTCGGCATGTTAGTTGCCTCTGTCCTTTTATTTTCCTCAAGGTCTGCAAGGCCCTAATGCAATCCCAAATGACTGGTGTGGTGTACAAGTAGATGGCTATTCTTATACCTAGCCTTTTAATCTCCTGTTTGAAAGACATGCATACTGCTTGTATGAATTCTTACTTCTTGGTTTATTTCCATAAATACCAGCTCCCAACACTTGCTCCATCTTGGATCCATCTGTATACCAGACATGATCGGGCATTAACTGAGTCCCTTTCTCCTAGTCTGCTCTATCAGGTATTTTAATTTGAAATTTTTTGGCAAATCTGAATTTCTTCAATGAACTGTTCCATATTGAAATTGCAAGTTGCAATTTCAATGTTCAGTTGGCTCAAATAAGCGTTTGGTGTGAAGAACAAATGCAAAGTTGTGTGCTCTGTGTTGAGCCAACCAGTTGGGATAACTGGGGATGTGATTCAACACTCGTTGAACTGCCTCATCCTAAAAGAATGAGAACAAGCTGACCAAAATGAGTGGGGACCACCAGGCAATAGTTTGAAGTGCACTGGGCCAAAATAACTAAGTACTCACCACTCAATTGTGCATCTGATTATAGTGTGTAAAAACATTCTATTTTCAGAAATCATTATTTTGAAGAATTGGTATTGAGATGACACAATGAATCCAGCTTGATCGTTTAAAATAATATAATTCTTTGAGATTTCATTGAAAATACAATTTTACACAAAACATCATTCTATGAACGAATTAGAAAGGACAAATAACAATACAAAATATATAGAACTAGTTTGCAACAAGAAGAAGAAAAAGGTCATATGTAAACAAGGAAATCTTTTCGTCTACAATATTTTTGAGCAAATCGCTTCCCATCGGCAGTGAGTGGTGAAAAAGCTATCTGGTCCCTTTTCAGCACGACATCCGATAAATAATTCCTCCTACAAGGTAAAATTACAACATTTTAGGACAATTTTTTTTCTCTTTGGGGTGTGCAATGATGAACCTGTAGTATGGTCATTTTCGTTCAGTTTGGCCTATAAATCCTTGTTGTTTTGGTTTGTAACATGTTTCCCCTTCTTGTAATCTTCAGGGATGTTGAGAAGCCGAAATTCATCTGATATACCAAAAGAGCGACAAATGCCAGACCAAATTACAGGTTCATTACCCTGCTGACCACAAAAGAGAATCTCACAATCAAAATAAGTACCTGACTGCTTCAAGGAGTTGTGATGCAATCCCTTGCCTCCTGAATCCTCTATCGACCCAGATACTAGAGATCCCACACAAAGCAGAATAAGTTTCCTGAGAATAGACATTGTCTACACCAAAATCTGCAATTCTGTACGCTTCTGTGATGCTGACACAAGCTACAACTCCTATTACTTTGTTGCCATTGACAACCAGATAAATCTGGAATAAATGTAACAATTGTAATTTTTTAAAAATGGGACAAAAATCAACATACCTGATCGGGCTTTTTGTTCTTATCTTGCAACTTGAGTGTTTCGTCAATACAATTTACAATGCCCAGGGCATGATTCCATTTTCGTCTCCTGTCCCTTTGTTTTATTAAGATTGTACGGTTGGACCCGTTCAACCCTACAACCCTTTCAACTTTCCATCCCTATGATTCAAAAAATAAAATCTACATATTCAAACAGTACATTACGCTCTCACCTCGAAAAAGAATATTGGTTCTTTTATGTACATTTCCGGCTGGGCGCCTGCTTGTGGTCTGTTCCGGCAAATGTGCAGGTGACATTCATGGCACTTGATCATATTCGGTTGCAACAGCTCACTACATGGCATAACCATTATAAGACTTAAGCTGGATATGATTTTAATAAGTATACAAGAATACTTTTTATTTAAAAAAAAAAACAAGTCCAACAAATTATTGCATAAATTACTTTGTGACTTTCAACAAGTACAAAATATTTTGGAAACATTATTAAATTAAGGTAAAACATACTTTGAACTTTTTTGTGCAGCAATTTCTGATGTAAACGGCAACGGATCATATTCAATGGCCGTTAAACCTTTTAAAGGTAAGGATGATGCATCCTTAGGTGTATGCTGAAAAGGAAATTTCGCATAGAGACTTAAACATAAAATTTATATAAGATTGAAAACCTTGGAAATATCCTGCAAGTGACATGGTTGTCCAGCTATACTTTGTTTCCCTTCAAATTCAAACATCCGCCGAGTCTTGCACACATTGCATAACAAAACCAATGGTGAGGTCCCTTGAATCGTCCATGAAACAGTCATACAACAAGAGTGTGTTGGTGGCGGTTTATAAGTGGCAGAAGATAATTTTGTTGAGAACAATTCTCTTGGGCTGCTATACACAACTTTAGAAGTTGAACTCGTTTCTACAGTCTTTGGAAAGATTTGTGCATTATCCGGTGGGAAAGGTGGCAATTTAAAGATTTTCTTTCAGCTACACCTACATGTATTGACACAGAAGGATTTAAACTGCATTTTAATGGTGTCGAAGCATTCTCGGGAATTAAGGGCTTTTCTTTTTCAGTCAGCTCAATTTTCAGTGGATATGTTGACTTGTTCTCCTCACATCTTGGGACCTCGAGCTTTACTGTCGGTGTAGATTTTTCTATATCTTCCATTAAATTCTCTGCTGAAAGTTCAAAAGTCAGAAGCCACAACAATAACGCTGGTAAATAATTTAAATATACCTTGATTTAATGTACTTTCATCCTTATCCCTAACTAAATCAATAAAAATCCTTCAATAAAAGTATTATAATTAAGAATTCACCCTTAAATACTACAAATTATTATGTTTCTCATCATGACTCTTACAGAGACTAAGAGTGTCTTTGTATCATGCATTATATAACAAATATAACATATATTATACACTTTAATAAAATTAATACACTTTGCTGTTTTACTTGGTTGAACATTCAGCGGTCTATAAATCATATCATTCACTTCCTTATCGTCCTCATCATCATCGATAAAATCAATCATTGTTTTCGGCAGTAAAGGATATTTGATTTTCACATCCGATTTGGACGAGGCAAGCATCCTGAAATAGTTCATACTTTCATCCTCCTATAAAATATATAGTGTACACACTACAGAGAAATGTCTCACCTTGCCTTAATATATTTTAACTTAGCGCACGATTTTCTAGCTGCGTTTGCCAAAAGATGGCAGTTGTAACTTGCGCTTGAATCACTTAATACCCGATTTTTAGGTACCACTTTCTGCACCCTTCTGGTTTGAGTTGGCTTTATTTTACTGCTGCGCTTTGTTTTGGAACCGGGGCCCATTTTTAAAAAAGATGATCTAAATTCCTTTAAAAACAAATTTAAAAATAATTATTTAATTTTACTACTATCCACCATATAATCGTCCCAGAGCATACTGATCTGCCTGTTCTCCCTAGACATATTTTGGCATGTTTCAACGGTAGTCCGTGTGAGAAAATTGATGACAAATTGCACACACACAAGGGACTGGAGCCACAACTAGGTGCACCAGTTTGCCAAAGTGTACCAAAAATTGTAAAAATAGCTTGAGAAAGAAAAAATTCAAGTAGCAGGAATGAGGCAAGATAAGAGATGAATAAATCTCAAAAAAATAAGTAAAAGTAACTTCTTTCTCTTAGCAGGCAAGATTTGAGGATAATAAGGTCTCTATGCCAACCACTGCTCTCTTACTAAAGAACTTACTACTCTTACTCTTACTTACTAAAGTAGGGAGACAGAACATATTGGCCATAAAAAAAAATTCTTTGAGAATGTAAGGCACTAGCCAGTGTATGAGTCACTTCAATAAGGCAGTTCTAAAAGTAGTGTGCAAAAGTATTGTCTTAATCATAGAGGTTCCAGGTTGCAGTGGAGAAAATGTTCACACAGATGTATAATAAATATTACAGTAAAGTAATTCCTGTAATATAGGAGGGTTTAACATCCAACTACCCGTTGGGTGTTACGAACAAAGGGTCAAACCACTTTGCAACACACTCATCGTACTATAATCAATTAAGTCCGAGCTCTGGCAGGATTCAAACCCAGAACCACTAGGTGGCAAATACGAGTCAGACACCCTAACCACTGTTGAAACATGATAAAAAAATGGGAATGTGTGGTGTTTAGTGACCGTTACTTGATGATTATTTGTTGATTATGAGATGCGGTCTGGTGGGACATAGGTTGTAGAAAAACATTTTCTTTATCGTGCCAACGTTTCGATCTTCATTGAGATCATCTTCAGGGCTCAAAGTGTTTGTTTTCTGCGTAGAAGTGTCATTCTTGTGGGCACTCTCAACGCGACACATAAGAATGACACATCTACAGGGAAAACAAACTCTTTGAGCCCTGAAGATGATCTCAATAAAGATCGAAACGTTGGCACGATAAAGAAAATGTTTTTCTAAAACATACGTCCCACCAGACCGCATTTCACAACCTCCAAATAATAATAGAAAATAGGATTAATTTAATAATTTAATCTGTTAGTTGTAATACCTCAGGATCGTAATTTTAAAAGTTTAAATAATTTTAAGTAATCTTTGTACCTTATAAAATAGTAATGTTAAAATAGTACTCTGGGGTAGTGTGAACGCTAACCAGATTATAATATTTTACTTTATATGTTTTATGAGTACTTGAATATTTTATCACATGTATGACAACGTCCTAAGGTATAGAGAGGCTAGCAATACAATAACAAACAAAAAAAGTCAGTTACCCTTCTAATTGTACTGACCATAACTTGGCTGGAGAAACAGGAAAACAAATTAGCATTATTAATATTATACATAACAAATAAATAATATTAATAAATATATATAATTATAAATATAAATTATATATAAATAAAAATAATTAAAAAAGAAAAAATACGATTGTGGGTTGTTTTTTATTTTTCAGCATGTACTTTCTCATCTTAGGTTAACGGATTTATTTTTCAATCATAACGAACCAAACTTGTCTCAATTAAATTACTTGTTCATTTTTATATATAAAAATCTCATTCTATTTGATCACTCACGTCAATTTGGATTAAACTATTTTTTAAGTAAATTTTCAAAAAAAACCCAATATTTTCGATCATTATGGTGAGCACATAGACCAATAAACCAGACCTATAGAAAATAATTAAATTATAAAGTGAAATTGGAAAAATTTACATACCGCTTTAATTCTAGTACACACTGGGATTCATTGTTCAGACTCTTTGTTGCAGATTCTCGGATACATGTCTCAGACTCATTGGCATGCATCATTATCGCTCCAGAAATCGTGTTGCACAACATTAAAATGTGGGATTCAAACCATCCAACTTCAATTGAAACCATTCTAACCTAACCATACTAAAAGACAACACACCTGATTCATGATTCATGCAAGAAAATGAATCCCAGACGCAGCTCCGCGACAAAAAATCCGAACGAAGAATCCCAGTGCGTACTAGGCTTTACAATTTATCGTAATGGATCTGTTAGAACCTCAAAGACGGGAGACAATTTTGGAGAACTGGCCAGCTAATCAAAAGAACCGAACAAAATGGTATCCGGTTGTGTTTCTTTACCCTTTTTTCCAAGTAAAACTGAAAATTAAAACAAACCATAATAATTAGCTAGTGTAATGTATTGAAAAATATATCTATTAAAACAACCTGCTAATAGTTAAGCCTCTTCGATTTTTTTCGCCAAAAGAGCAACTGTTATTCACTTATTATTGTTTTAGGCTTATTTCTACCTCACAAGGATTCTGCTAAGCCACTAGACTATAATCGTAAAACTAAAGTGCGTTGCTAATAATGTTTTGAACTTTTAAACTCGACGAAACAGGAAAGAACAATGACTCAAAGAAAAAGACGCCATTTTATAAAGTTGTCGCGTAACCGTCAACGCTCCCTGACCTCTGCCAACGGTTTACTTGATCACAGACCACCACCAACGGCACCACGCACACGGTCTCGGCCTCGATCCATCGTCTCGACGCTACGAAACAGCACCGGCCCTTTTCAGGGCCATAAAACACCCAGTCACTAAATCAAAGTTTAACGAAAAGTGTATTTTAACAAAAAACAATTTTTTTATTGTAGAATTTATTGAAACTGTACTCTGAACTAATTAAACATTTTTTTCTTAATTGAATATTACTTATTATTAATTAAAGAAGCAATCATATAATGTTTTTTTAACCTTTATTCAATAATAATTGTGTTATTTGATAACATTTATTTAACTAGATTGTGTACTGTTGAATAAATCGATCAGAGGTGTAGACTTTTTATTACAATTAATTACTCACCAATTTCGATTTTTTATTCAATCTTCTTCAGGGCTTTACTATCATTAATTGTTAAAAAATGACCCTGATCAACGATTAAGAGAAATTGATGGACATCTTCAGACATTTATATTGTGTATGTAATGAAATTTAGACAAGTTGGTTCCTTGTCATTGGGCAATAAATCGAAAAATCCGTTTTGCCTAACTTCAGAAAGTACATGCTGAAAAATAAAAGGTGCAGTTCTGTCCTGCAGCATAACATAACATCATCCATCTTTGTTCTAGATGCTCTTTTATTAAACATACTCCTTACACTTATCTTTATATCCTTACACTTCTCCTTACAGTTATCTGATTGTAGTTAATTTTTTTTTAAACCCGTGGGCTTTGGTTAAATTCCTACCAACGTCTTTGGAATTTCTACCCATTCACTCATCCCTTTACCCCAAAATTCATTAAAATGACATACTTCTGACTTGGCTAATGTGCTAGACATGACACCACTGGGGAAAAAAAACCTGGGATGTGGTGGCTACCAAATGTACATTTATTAATATTTATGGTTTGTATTTGTATATGTATTTGACTTTTCTTTTGCTCCAGTGAACTTTGATTTTTAAAATATTTTTTACGTGGCCTTATGTTTTTCCATATTAGCAGTACTTCTGCTGATTGATTTATATGGAGGAAGGGGAGCAAGGAAAAAAATAATTAAAATTCCAGGGGCGACAGCACCCAAAATTTAGAAATTTAAGGTAGTGATTTTTTATTCTACGCACTAAATCACTTTTACTTACTTGCTTCAAGTTGAAACTGTAAGACTGTTCTTGTTATTTTTTGCAATAATATTTGTTTAATTTTTTAAAATTTATTTTTGTAATTTTGTCGTTTCTGACTATCCTGGTCTGCCTGTCCTCGTCGCATTGGTTTGTCACACTCGTTTCAACATTTCGCCATCTTCAATATTTAGTGTGGCAATACAACAAAGAAAGGCAGACAAAGCAGCGACCAAATTACAGATTCATCATCCTGCAGACCGCACATAGAAATCTCACAAGTTTGTTTTTCTGGAATGTAAGAAAAGTGAATGTTTTCCACAATTTATACAAAAACCCTCTGGTAATTTTTTTATAATTTTTTCTTAAATAATTGTTTAATTATCAATATTTCAGACCACATTAATTACTGCTAGTTTATTAATTTTTAATAAATTATTTTGTCAGTTCGCTTGATTTCAAATTGATTTGTTTTTTCTAGACTAGCAATAGATTTGCAATTCGTTTAATTCCACTTGAGACTTTTTTTCTAATAAAATACGTATCATAATCTGTATAAAACTATACATATATATATATATATTTTTTTTTTTGATATAATACAAATTGCATTATTCTTTGTCTTGAGAGGAGTTAGCAACTACTGTTGTTCTCCCAATGGATGTTTTATATTGGACATGAATTGAGCTAGTGGGTAGTAAGAGGAGCTTACTGTGGAACTTAGAAAATATGGTGGAGAATAATTTATTTAGGAGGGTAGTATTGTAGACATAGTAAGAAGCATAGACTGCGATTCTGACGACTTAGGATAAGGACTGAATTTATTGGATATTGGTAGGTATAGCCTCACTGTTCTAGTTCTTATGTCCAAATCAGTTTCAATAGTGTTTTGTAGCGTGTCAGTTTTTTTTTTTTTTTTTTTTTTGTCAACATGTTAGATCCATCTAGTTTATTGATAAGTCCGGAGCATATGTTCAGTTCCTGTCTTTTTATTTGGTGTCGGTTCCAGGTTAAGTGTGAGTCAAGATAGAACCCAAAGTAGAGTACACAGTCGGTTTTAAGGATAGGAGTGTTGGCGAGGAGTGTAAGAGGTTTTGCATCAGAGGGTGAATGTAACATGGGTGCATTGTTTTCATTAATTTTCATCCTTCAAAGTTTGCTCCATTGAGCTATTTGATTGACAGTACCTTGAGATGCCAGAGACAATTGCAGGTTCAGGATCAGGGTGTCATGGCTGTTATTTGCAAAGGATGCGGGGAGGGTAGAGGGTGTAGTTGGGAAGTCTGATATGTAGAGAAGGTACAGGATTGGTCCGGGTACATTACCCCTGGCACTTCCTCCCCCACAGGACAGTAGTCGAAGTAGTCCTTGACTAACTCGGGAGAATTGCCTTGCGAAGGATACAAGGTTTTTGGAAGGATGTGCCTTAGAGGGTATAGGAGACGGTTGAATATTTGTGACACATCCAGAAAGTCACTGAATAGTATTCTTTACTTCAAAGGATGAGGGTAACTGTAAGAATTTCTGGCTGTAATACAAGTGAAGTTCCTTCTGTGGTATGGCTCTACTGCAAGGGAACACACTTTTAGCTGACTTAAAAATTAAACAACTTGATATAAATTTGTCTTTATATATACCAGGCCTTACTCCTTCCAATAATTCTTATTATGGATTTAAGTTCAAATCAAAAGTAAAAGCAGTTTGACCTCAACTCTGTATATGATTTGGGTTCTAACAGCACTCCTTGAAGTGCTTACATTCTTATTTTTTAGTATTAGAAAATATTTACTTTTATTATATTAAAAAAAAAATNATATAATAAATAATAATAAAAAAAACCAAAGGCAATGCTGGTCACCTTGTGTAGTCTATGACAATTTGAGAAGTAATAACTCAGCCATTATCTCCCATAAATTATTTTAACACCTTTATTCTCTCCAATAGTAGTTGTTTCACTAATAAAATATTTACAAGGAAATGGAATATATGAGTTTTTGCAAGTGAGGCAATGACTGTAGGCGCATATACACTAAGCAAATCATTGCCAACCACTTCATTAGCCATGATTTGCTTAGTTCTAGGGAAGGCGAATAGAACCAACGAAGCGGTTGGCCTTGGCCAAAGTTCAGTCTTCTGGCGGTAATATCAAAAGGGTTGATGTTGACTTTGATTCCACAGGCTTGGTTTGATGAGGATGGCCAATGTGTTGGTGACTAACTTTTGGCCCTATATATTTGCTGACTTTCGTCGCCCGAGACTTGCTTAATGTGAATGCTTTATGGAAAAACCAAAGAGAATAATCACATAAGAAAATCAAAATTGATAAAGCTACAAATTTAATAATAAGATAATTAAAAAGTTTACAGAAAGGGGTGTCAGTGGTCGCAACGGTTCAGGTATTGACACGGCGCTCATCACTGTTAGGTAAAGGTCCCTAGTTCAAATCCCGTGGCCCTGTATTCGAGCTCAACATACTTACAAATGGGCTTTTTTTTTCAAAAGCACCGGCACTCCGAAGGTTAATACAACCTCGCAGTTGAAATATTCTCATTTAAAAAAAAGTTTCCAGAAGGATTTTTTGTCACATCAATAAAACTTCAATACTAAATCATTTATTCAATATTTAGAATGTCATAAAAAATGTGATGCAAATAAATTAATTGACATAAGTAGAAACAATTAACTGATAAAAGTAATCATGAGACTTATACTAAAATAACACACGTAATATTTAAGAGAAAAATACTTTAAAAATACAATAAGTTAAACATAGACAAGGTAGTCTTTTCGTTGGCAGTAATGCTCTGCAAATTGTTTTCCATCGACTGTCGGTGATGAAAATGCAATCTGATCCCTTGCTAGAACAATGCCGTATATATAATTTCTCCTAAAAAAATTAATAAATTTTTTAATAAGTTTAAAAATAAATTGGAAATTTAAAAAAATTACCTGACTGAGTCAAGAAGTTGTGTTGCGACCCCTTTTCCTCTAACATCAGGGCTGACCCAAATCCTCGATATTCCACACCAGGCAGGATAAGTTTCTTCAGAACAGACGCTGGCGATTGTAGGGTCTTTGATACCGACATCCAAAACCTTATAAGCTTCGGTTATTCCCATGCAACCCACAACACCGATCACCTGTTTATCTTTTATATATAAAAATATCTAAAAAACAAAATAAAAAACCCATGAAAATTCATTAATATCAATATAAGATAGTTTACTTTTTTAAAACTAACATCTTCAGGCTCACGAGCTTCTGGGGGAAAACCAAGCTCTTTGTCAACGTAGAGCATTACTTTTAAAGCTCGCTCCCATTTGTGCTTTGGATCGCTATTTTTAACTTGAATGATACGATTGGCACCTTCAAAACCGACAATCCTCTCATCTTTCCATCCCTACAATTTATAAAAATTAATTTAAAATATTGAGTCAATTTATTATTTATAATTAAATTAATTTAATTTATAATTATTAACTACCTTGAATTTAAATGCACCGTCTTTCATGTGATATTTTTCATGCCTGATTTCATCTTCAGGCAGGCCTTTGCAGTAGAACAGATGACATTCAGGGCATTCGACCTCTCTTAGATTTTTCTGACCCACGTCCAATTGTAACTGATCATCTCCAAGGCCCATTCTATGAACCCGTGAAGATAATGGGGTCCTACACAATATATATTTAAATAAAAATATATTTTAATGAAAAATATGCTAAATATAATTTTAATCATTAATATTACATTGGTGTTGAAGGTAATGTTGAAGAAGGGGTGCACGGGAAGTGTGTTTTCGGAGTTACAAAAATTGGAAACAATTTCTGTGGTGTTACTTGTCCAGGTTGTTCATTTTCCTTTAAATTTTCATCTGAAAGATTGTAATTAATTCAGCAAGGCACACAAAAATAAAATGCACTATTAAAAGCATTTTAGGTTTAGCTTTATTAACATTATTGAAGATAATTTATTTTAAAAAAATTAAATAAATTTGATATTAACTCTATTGAAACACTGTTTTCATGGCTTATTAATTTTTTTCAATTACATTTTATTGAACATAATATAATTCGAATTAACACATACCAAAGTCTTCTAAAGTGTGTAAAAGTTGGTTAACTTCGTTTCTGACGCTTTCGTCCTCATCTTGATCTTGTACGATGTCCTGCATTATTTCCTGGAACTCTTTCATAATCGGTACTAAAAATAACAGATAAATCTTAAATTTTGTTCATCTCATCGTGACCAAGTTTGTTTTCAGTTCAAAAGGATAAACCTAACCTTTCCCATTTGTGCAGTCTTTTTCTCCCATATTTTCTTCATTTTCCGAGTCCGAATGGATAAAGTCAGAAGCTGCTGCACTAAGTAGTGGTATTTTTGATTTTTTACTTGAAGCTGGTGGCGTCAGATCGAAGGTACTGTAAATAACAAAAACAATCATCAAAAGTTTTTTTAATTAAAAAAAAAAAAATGTATGTTATGTACTTGAAATATATAATTACCTAGGTTTTTGTTTAAAAAATTTTCTAGACGGAGTTTCAAAAAGTTCCCAGTTGTATTTTACATTTTTATTCCCGATAATAGTCGGTTTAGTTTTAGGCTGTGGTGGTGGAAGAGGCCTCTTCCTGTTTTTAGGCTTGAACGGTATGTATTGCAATTTTTGTTTTTTCTTTAACCTCTTAGCCGACTCGCCTGTACCGGCTGACCTAGCACGTTTTTTTCGAGTGGGTGGCTCGTCATCAAAACTAAGTCTTGTTTTTATCTTATGATAGCTATTAATAATAATTAATTAATTTCAATTTTTTTTAACTTTATAAAAAAAAACTTGCCTTTCAGGAAGGGATTGTCTAACTCTTTCTAACAGCGATTTTGCATCACGTATTGGTGACTTGTCTGCAACTCCATAAAATGTTTTAGCAGAGATGATACCCGTGTCTGTTCCAAGTTCTGTTATTCCAGGTATATTTGACTTTATCGACAATGGAGTCAACACCCTGAAACGAAAATGTGTTTATTGTTTTTATTTGTACTAATAAAACATTTTTGACATTACCCTGGAGTCCTTGGAGATTCATTAAGTTCACTTGAAGTAGGACTTAGAGGGACAATATCGTCCTCGACATCAACATTGAACAAGTTGCGTCTTCTCCCTGAGTTCCCTTCAGGAATAATCGACTTTCTAACCCTTTTAGGGGTTAGAAAAGCCTCTTCCATCATATCAGCCTGAAGAACAAAATCTAAATTAAAATTCTTCTCATTTATATCTGAATTTTTAAAACATCACAAATTAGAAAAATTATACAATGATAGTACATGGACTAATATTAATTATGATGTTTCAAAAATAATATAAACTAAATAAAAAACATATGCCAGATGAAAAGAAAACTACAAATAATGAAGGCTGCATGAAATTTATTATCTTGTTTGTAAAAAATAGTTTTATTTTCAAATTTAAACCCTGAATATGGTTATTTATTTATAGCTTATTTCCAACATATAAAAATATAAATATGAAGTATTGCTATGAAAAAATGTCACAGACAGTTGGAAAGTATAACTTAACCCCTGGGGTTTAAGCTTTCTGGCTAAAATTATATTAAATTAATTTTGTCATAATAAACATTAAAATAATACAAAATAAAACAAGATATGATTTATGGATTTATTTTAAAAAAATCTGGTCTGGTTGCATCAGATGGAAATTTAATTAAATAAATATGGTGAAAAAGCTAAAACCATGACTGTGATTACGAGGATGATCAGTGATGTTTGAGCTAAAGGTCCGTGACAGATATAAAGGGTGAATGAACTCACTCTTCAAAGAAAAACTCATAAATTTTATTATATAAAATTAATTTAATTATTATTCCAATTAATTATTCTTTTTATCTAAGGTTTTTGGTTGAGATGAAAAATCACGAGCAAGGTACGAAATCATGACCTTCAGCTCAATACGCTGCTGCTCTAACCACTACAATTGTTCGAATTTTCCCTCTTTTTGACATTTTTCAAATGTCATGTAATCAGGATTGGATTCTCAGCAACTTATGAAGTGGCAACAGGGAGCTGTTAGGGGTTATAATGGGGTTGAGATAGGAAGTTGATGTCCGAGTGGATCGAGGTCACAATAGCTCAAGTGGTAGAGCAGCAGCGTATCTAGCCGAAGATCGTGGGTTCAAATCCCGCTCGTGCCATTAACTTTTTTTCATCTCAACTAAAAACCTTAATTAATTGTTAAGGTTTTTAGTTGGTCAAGGTTTTTAGTTAAGGTCAAGCGGACCACGTAATTAGTGAATTTAATTACTTATATATGTTTAGCAGTCATAATTGACTGTATTAATTATTCTTTTTTATGTAAGGTCTTAGTGCAGATAAAAAAGTCAATGTTACAATAGCTGAGGTGGTTAGAACAGTGGCGTATTTAGCCGAAGGTCGTGGGTTCGAATCTCGCTCATGACAATGACTTTTTTATCTCAACCAAGACCTTACATAGAAAGAAGAATTAATTAAAAAGAAGTACCTTGGTCAATTGACCACTAAAATGCAAAATGGATTAATATTTAATAAGTAAAAGAAGTATCATTTCACTAAACAGCCCCCTGTGGCCACTCCATAAGTCGCTGAGAATCCAATCCTGATTACACAACATTTGAAAATGTCAAAAAGAGGGAAAATTCTAATGGTTATGGGTTGAGATGGAGAGTCGGTGTCCGAGAGGATCTTAGTCACGTAGCTCAAGTGGTAGAGTAGCGGCGTATTTAGTCAAAGGTCATGGGTTCAAATCCCACTCGTCACACTGACTTTTTTTTATTTCAACCAAGACCTTACATAGAAAGAATAATTAATTGAAATTATTATTAATATTTAAATTTATTTCCACATTATAAAATAATGTGAAGTCTTACTACGAAAAAATGTTAGAGAGAACTGGAAAGCAACAAAGCACTTTAAGGATTAAGTCATTAAAAAATAGTGGGTTAAGACAACCCCCTCAATTTGTTAAAGACAATTGATTGGTTCCGATTCCCATCTTTATAAACAGCATTTTCTGACTTACTCGTCAATAACACCTGGGGCTATCTTGACATAATAAAAACATTAAAATAATACACACAAACCATAAATTTTACGAATGTGATTCTTTACTTCAGTTTTATATTTATTTCCAACAAATAAAAATACAAATCGTAAGTATTACTAAGAAAAACGTTAGAGCCAGTTGGAAAGCGTAATTAATCCCCTGGGGTTCTGGCCTTCTGGCAAAAAATGCATTAATTAAGTGATATGGTGAAAATACTGAAACAAATAATGATTAGGAGGATGTTCAGCGACGATCGAGCCAAAGGTAAACTTGGACATGTATGTTCAAAAATATGTTGTTCAAACAGTTTAGGTCGAAATATCCTATGCAAATTGAATATTCTACTACCAAAATTTAATATTACAAAACTAATCAGATTTAAATAATTGTCCATTCGGGAAGTTCGATTAAAATATGAAAACGTAATGTAAAGTGGCTTAACCCCATCGTCTACAACCCACCAGGCACCCTGTCGTTAGGCTACTATACGAGTGATTAATTTTAAAAATTTTGCATTTTAATCCTTTGGCCTCTACTAAACAAACACATAATATGTCAACAAACAAGCCCCTTTAGGAATTTAATAATTAAAACAAAAAATAGTGGGTTAGGTCAGTATTTCAATTTGTCAGAAACGACTTGATTGCTTCCAATTCCCATCTTTGCCTTTAGCAATTTACTCATCAACAACACCTGGACCTATCTTGTTATAATAAAAACGTTGAAATAAAAATATGGCAAGATATGATTTACGGATTTATTTTAAAAAAAATTGTGGTTAGGTTGCATCAGACATGGAAATTTTTAAACCACCAAGATCTGAGTTAAAAAAAACTATTAGTTATAGATCTTTCTAAATAAAGTAAAACCTAAGTTAACGAAAACCCTAACAGGAAATTTTTTTTATGATAGATTCCTTTCGAAAAACAACGAGGCTAACTTATTTATGTTCGAGAATATTGTCACTTTCGAATATGTGGCACGATTCATATATGAAAATACATGTACAACTACAGTTCTAATATGTACAATGGGGAAAAAAACAGGTAGTTGTATACCAGTCTTTCCATGTCACGACGGGTATAAATGTTTAAAAGAAAAAACTACTACTTGTCTGAGAAAAGTGAGAAATCTATAACTACCATGAGTGAATAGTTCTCTTCTAAAAATCGTTTTTTACGTTTATAAATTTATTTCAACGCAAGAAAAACAAAACATTATAACCAATCGTTTATATAAACAGTAAATTCCACATAATAGAAAAAAATATTTTTTACAGCTTGATGCGAGGGCAAGTGGTCCATACTTACCAACTGGTTAGTAAAGGCGAACAGCAGAAAATCGTAAAGTACGGAGTGAAAACAGACCTCAACGCTCGATCGGATCAGATTGGCGGTTAGGCGGCTAAACTTCTAAAGCCAAGGGACAAAAACCTCAACAAGTGTTTACTTTATCGGCAGCTGGCTAAACACAGTTATAAATAATTTAAAAAGTAATAATATCCAAAATTAAATTGATATTTGTATTATTATTTTAAAAATGAAAACAATACATCTTGAGAAATCCTGGCGATTATATGTTTATTATGATTTTATGTGTGAAGCTTGTTTTAGCCCTAAAGCGTATTTTTTAAAAAGACAAGTTAATATTGCACATATCACGTAGTATTTAAAAAATAATTTATTTAAACAATTACTTTATGTAAAACAATCAAATAATTGATTTTTTTAAATGTAACGTATAGATTAAGTGGATTTAGTCGGTAGCCAGTTGAAAAGTCCAACTTGCCAGTTGTCAACATGCACATTGTAACAGGGCCGGAAGGTAATTACTAACTGTCATAAGAAGATTGTCATAAATCGACCGATCAGTGGGATATCTATATTTAAAACAAAAAATTAAATTAATCTCTTTTAAAATGTCAAACGAGCTGACTCTGAAGGTCTGCGACCAGATAAACAAGGAGTTGGGCGATGAAGTCGAGAACCTGTCGAAATGCCGGAAAATGTACGAGGATGCCCTTGCAAAAAAGAAAAGGCTGGAACAGTTGGTGAGTGTATCCAGCTCCTTCCCGTTGAAATCTATGTTCAAACTGTTTATCAAGCAAAAAATAAAAATTTGTAGTGTTCAACAATTCAAGTTTAATTTGTGTTCACTATACGTTTTCTTAAGGTGGCTCCAGATATGCGGTATTCGCCGAATGCTGATTGCTGCATAGATGCTCGTCTTGGCATTCCCAAAATAGTTACGTATACTCACATGCGGGGTTCGTACAACCAGCCAGTTTGTGCAGAAACAGCGAATATGTATTTGCCAAGAGCCGTGCGAGTCCTCAACTTACTACCAATCAATGAACATCAGAGAAACTGTTATTGCTGCATCTGTGGTTACTGTTGTGGTAGCTACAAACTCAGTCACAGAGTACCGTTGCCCATTGTAATTTCCATCACCCTTCTATGGTATAGGAACTCAATGAGTACCTCAAACAGAAAGGTAAAAAGAAAATGAGGGAACAATGGCACTCACCAATTTGATATAAACAATCCAAGAACCTCCTAACAAATTTTGGAAGAAAAGAAGTAACAGAATGTATCAAAGGAAGCAGGAAAAATCTACAAATCCTAACAGGACACTGCAAACTATGGACATTTGAAGAAAATTGGCATAACCCAACATGGCGAGTGCACATTCTGCAAAGAAGCAGAGGAAACTACTATTAACAACTGTGGTGTTATATTTGCCCACAAGGAGGACATACAGTTTAACCATGGAAGAAATTTAACCACTGAAACCGGGCCTACTAATCAAATTCCTTAATGAACTAGGACTCACTGGTGAGCTATAAGCACAGAATGGGGATACAATAGCTCTTGAAGGTCGCTGTATAAAATACACCAAGACTAATCATCTACATCTACTTTTGATCCTTTTCCATGCATTGAAAACCTGGTTCCGATTTTTGTAATTCGGAAGAGAAACATTCCAAATTATTGGTTCAGCTTAGTACAGATCGAGGAACTGCAAGTTTCAGTTTGAAAAAGTCCGTTCAGCCAATACATTCCTAACTGATAGAAACAATGCATGATGTTCTTTCAACATCTATTCTTGTTAGGAATTTTTTTTTACCTTAGATTTTGCTGTTAATCAACTACTTTTTTGTATCCTCCATATCCTTCCTGAATCAACCCCACCACACCAGGTCCAGTGTCATGAGGCAGTTCTTATTACTACATTTATACTTTAATTGTAAACAGTCCTTTACCAGTCATAAGGTGGGATCTGCGTTTGTTGGCTCCATCCACATCCCATCAAAGATCAGGGGCTCAACATCGCCCAGAGAATGTTCTCAGGCCCACAAACCATCCCTGGAGGAATCATATATTATTGAAAAATAAATAGCAATGTTTATTGATGTTTACAGTTGATATCCATACAGTACAGTTGATTCCCAAATGTGGGGATGCTTTGAAGTAGGCTACCTCACGAATATTTGTGCACTTTGAAGCGGACAAGGAAACCGATTAGCTGAGCATGGCGAGCGACAAATATTGTTGCTCGGCGAATAACCAAGCACCCATCCTCACTAGTCGGGATTCGGCAAATCCTGCATGTTTGGAGACACCTTTATAGATGTATGGTCTAGAGTGTGAAGGTTCATGCGATTGACCAAGGAAGCATGTAGACTAATAGTTTGATTTAGGATGATGTTAACTTTTGGTGTAAACTTAATATTTAACATTGTTACACAGTAGAGGCTGAGGCAGTCTCATATTGAATGAGGAATCTCAACCTATCATCAACAAAAGATGTTCTGACTGTCTCTTCTTTTTCCTGGCAATATCTGCACAAGGTTAAGTCCACTACTACGAGTCTATTTATATGCCTTTGGAGTCTGCATTGACTAGTTAGCAGTGCAACTATCATTCTAGTTCTAACAGATCCTAGATTTAGTAGTTCTGCCGTTAGTTTCTGTGATGGTTCTTTGGTGAACTTTTTCTCACGCCTCCGTCCTGGGCTAAATTTCCATTGCATGGAGGTCTTATTTGATGGATCCATGTTTTTAAGTAAAGATCCGGTGAATAAAATAAGAAGGGGATGGTTTTTATGAGGTACAGGGGTAGGTGCCTCCTCTTTCTGGTTTGGGTCAGTTGTCCTCCTAGCATGCCTGTGGCTTAAGGCCAATAAAAAAATATATATTTTTTCTTCTGCAGGACCAAACTGTTAATTATAGTGTACACTGCTCACAGTTAGTATGATTAAAGTTAGCAATTGACCAAAAGACCGGCATTGAGCTGATCGCAATGACGTTGTTTTCCTCCAAAATAGCACTCACCCATTAGTGACTTTACAAATGCGCTAGAAATTATTATAACTTGGCTAAGGTGTGGACCCCACCTGCCTATTTGCCTGACATTTCCTCTTCAGATTTTTACTTATTCTGGGGTCTGCAAAACTCTTTAATGTGGAAAAACTTCACTTCACTTAATGACTGCAGAAACCACATTGAGGAATTCATTGCTCAAAAACCTGAGAAGTTGTGGAAGGACAGAATTACAAAATTGCAACAGCTAGAGGACCAAAATGGTTAATATATTGTTGCTTAAAAAATTATTATTGTAAAAACGCTACATGCTTATTTTACATAATATGAAATGCTTCAGATTTCCTTGTGAGCTACCTTGACCTGAGAGATCAGGTCTTTTGAAACATTCATACCTGAGCGTCATGCAGCATAATTATTGTAGTATAATTACTTTAGTATAAGGTGAGGCTGCCCAAGACAAAATGATGCATCTGCATAATTTTTCTCTAGGTTAATATGAAGTTTATGATTGATCCAAAACTAAAAAAATATAATAGAATGTGATGGCCTAAAAATTATTTCCCTCTGGGTAAACCTTCCATACAACAACATAGTTCTAAACAATTTTAGTACTGGTGCAAAGAAAAAATCCATTTTCTGAAGTTTGCTTCCACCTCCCAATGTTCTGTCAATCTGATGATTACTGATGGCAAAGAATGTATTGAGGGTGGTCAAGTTTTTCTGAGCAGTAAAATAAATGAAGGAGCAGTTAGTTCATTAAGAAATTTCTTGTTGAAGTCTGTGGAGTTATAAATCTTTAGTTGAGTCATTTTCTGGCCTGATAGACTAAAACAGTGAACATAGATAGATCAGGCTGATCAAAAATGACCACATCACATAATTAAATCTTATAATTTTATATTAAAAATCCGGGAAAAGGCTAATTTGAAAGAAAACACTCAGTTCCTGCATCAAACTTTCAAGGAATATGAAGAATAACCCTTTCATCAGGACTTTAAAACTATTTAAAATTTCTGATATAGAATGGTGTTTGGTGCACTATAATTTTCATTTGTATTTGTTAACCTTGTAAATTATTAATAATAATTTAAAAGTCCTGATGAAGTGGATATATTCCTCAAAACTTGGCGAAGGAACTGAATGTTTAAAAACTGTTTTATTTCAAAGTGATCTTAACCCTGTTTTTATTATTGAAGGCTGATATTAATTAAAATGATATAGTTAAATTAAATTTAAATAATGCGCATTATTCATGAGTTGGTTATTGGATATATTTTTAGCTCTCTCTGGTTAGCGATGAAGTGCCTTCGAAAGTCGCCAAGGCAAAGAAAATGATCGACGATGCTTGCGATGATATCACAAAGGCAAGTGATGAGGTGACTTCAGTCTTAAAAGACATCCGGGAAAGATTGGGAGCGAGCGAGAAGCTCTACTGGCAGCTCAAGGAGAGCTTCGATAAAATAAACACTCTCAATAACACGCGTGCATACTTACAAATATTAGAATTTGTTCAACAGATAAGGTATTTAATTTAACAAGAAAAAAATGTTCGTCTATTTTATTGCTTCTTTGTTGGTTTTTTTAGTGATAGAATAGAAAGCCATATACTGGGAAGAGATGTTAATCTGGAACGTGCTATAGTCGAGTATAAAAGACTGTGTGAAATGTGCCTTAAGCTCAAAGGCTCTGCCTGTGAACATTTAATAACATTTTTAATAGATACAACCAAATATTGGCACAAGGCTCTAAAATCAGAAATTTCAGCGTGCGTACAAGATTTATTATTTATAATTTTAAAATGACTGTAATAATAATATTAATTTTTAGTGAATTTGACATAGCAATGAAAAATGTGATGTGGCCGATAGTTTCAAGAAATTTATTGAATACGCCCACTCCAGATAGCATAACGAAATTTCAAAATGGGATCAAACGGTTGCTTAGAATTCAACTTCCGTATGTTTAAACTTGGAGTTTGCCAGTTTTCTGTTAAACTTAAATTTGGTAATTTTATATTTCAGGCCTGGCTTGGAAGAGAAATCTGTTGTGACAACAAGCCTCGCGCTTAATTTTCCTGAACTTTCTATACCAATAACTGAACTGATCAAGCCTCTCAAGAAGAGATTTTTGTATCATTTCACTGGTTCAAGGCAGACCAACCGCCTAGACAAACCTGAATGGTATTTCACACAGGTAACGAACTGGTGGTTAATTTTTCTTTTCTTTTAATAAAGTGACTTTAATACTTTTAGATTTTGAGTTGGATTAGGGATCATGAAGATTTTATTGATGTACACGTGCAACCTGTGTTTGACCATGTGGATTACCAAAAATCTGCTTCTGTGAGTACAGGAACTTGATCTTTTTAAAATAACTCAAAGTACCCACAATTAAAAAAAAAAAAATTGATGAGACAGGATTTTAATTATTAATTACATTTTAGTACTTAGCTTTTAACTTGAATTTTCACAGGTCGAGTTTATATGTGGATTAGTTCAGTTGTCAGTAGAAAAACTTCAATGTGACATCGAGGAGGTACAGTTCGATGACCTCCTCTTTTCTCATGTCGTCGATGAGGCCCTTGGATACGAGAGGGAATTGCGTTCTGTCTACAACTACCCTCAATCATTTCCCGGCCCAACCCAAGTCTTAACACAAGCACAAATATTTGTCAAGTGGATCAAAATGGAAAGAAAATGTAAATTACACAACATGTAACTTTTAATTTTTTTTTGTTATATGCTTTACTTTCTTAGATGCAAGAGATAAAATGGATGCAATGATGGCGTCAGAAACGGCTTGGTCTACTCTCGCCGGACAAGGAGATGAAGACAAAGTAACAGAAGTGGCTCATACTTTCCTTGCACTCCTATCAACAATGACGGACCGTTACACACTTCTACCACAACCAGGGCATAGGTGATTATTATAGTTTATTAATTTAAAAAAAATTGAATCAATAATTAAAAATGCCTGTTTAATTTTTTAAGGCTTCAGTTTGTAGAATTAGAGTTGGAACTTATAGATGATTTGAGAGTTTCTCTTTTACAAGTTCTGCACAGCGAGCGATCTGATCCTCTGAACTCAAAGCTTCCAGAAGTATTGAACACCATATTTCATCTTAAAGTAGCTTTAGAGCATTTTGATGCTAGCCCTGTAAGTGTTGTAATTTGGTTTAAAAAAAATTACTTTTTCAATTTTTTTATAAACCAGTAACCATCTTCTAGGCCATCCTCTTGCTTGAACATTACAGAAAACAGTATAATCCAGTAGAAGACGGTGTACCGAAAAAAGACGATGAAGATGAAAGAGGCGGCCTGTTCAAAAACTCTCTACTTTTACTGGAGAGGCTGGTATCGGGGCTGTTGAATGATCTTTGTGACGCATTGATGCTCGAGGTCAAAGCAAGAAGCCGGCCATATCGAAAAGACAAGTAATTTTTTTTGAAAGTTTAAAACAAATGGGATGTTTTTTTATTTGTTTGTATGCCCAGGTGGTTTGCAATGACAGAGGAAGATGTTGATATGACAATGGTTACGCAGTCTGCGTGCTCTATGTTTCAAGCATTAGTAGACAATCTTCACCTCGTACATAAAAAACTGTCTTTTAAACTTTTCAACTCTTATTGGAAATTGGTTGCGAATAATTTAAACATGGTAAATTAATTTCTACATATTCGTGTTTAAACACTTTAAAAGTCATTCTTGATTATTAGTTTTTGCTGGAAGATTTAATTCTGGATACACACTTCAGCCCATATGGAGGGCAGGCTTTGGAAAAAGACATTATTAATTTTTTAATACCAATTTTCCAAACATACACGGATGTCCCGGAAACGTATTTTCTTCAGTGAGCCCATATTTACTACAGCTTATTTTTTATTTAAAATTATTTAAAAACATGCTTCATTCTCAGGGTTGAAGAAGCCGCTTGCCTACTAGGGCTTGAAGAGGTATCAGACTCATGCAGAAGATCAATATTGACTGGAAATATTAACGATGTCGTTAAAGACTTGGGAAGATATGCGAGACATCTAAAGCCCGAGCAGATTATGGCTGTTATAAGAAGGAGGATGGATATTGCTCCTTCTATCATGTAAATACACTATTGTAAATTTCATTTTTTTTTTCTCCCAACTTCTACAAACCACATTTGACAACCAGGAGATTATATTATATCATAACTTATTTTAAATCACCTTCTGTCACGATAAATTGTTATTTGTTAAGTTTAACATGCTAGTCACTTCTTTTGATTAAAAGTAAAGTTTAAAAAAAATCTAAACAAAATAATTATGCAGAACATATATTAATTATTTATTATTATTCTTTATTGTGTTATTACTTTGATAAAGGTTTCTAAAATTGTAATAAGTTACTCCAGAAGAATTATCATCCTATTTATTTTATGATATAAGCATTTTGTTTTTTTGAGTTTGTAAAAATTGTTAAGGTTTAACAATTCAAAATTTGAAAAAAAATAATTGTATTATTGTAAAATTGAATTTTATGGATTCTACAACAATTAAATATGTTGAAAGTACATAAACTTGCAATAAAGATGTTAACGTCCAATGATTTTTTTTTCGCACAGTAAGGTCTTGTCAATTAAGTCCATGCATCCTCCAATAAGAATGAGTTTCATGAACATATAAATGGGACTCGACTAGTCACAAATCATACAGACTCACTTGGTCTAGGCAGAGCAAAATGATTGGAAATACCACACTAAAAACTGTTTGAATGTTGTTTTTGATCATGAGGTTTCCTTCTGTTATCTGTGGAGTTGAATGAAATTTGACAATTTCATCAAACCATTTTTAAGTGCAAAGCATTTTTCTACAAAGAGTGTCACATTTTTTGGTTGATTTCATTCCTGCAGCTATCTACTCTATTTGTATAGGAATAATATTAGCTCTCCAAAATAATAAAACATAAATATGTTCCATGTTGAGCATAACCAATTTAATGAATACGGTATGTAATAAATTTTTAAATATTATATTTGGTGGATTAAATTATTGTTCTTTAGTTATTTTCATGCTAATTGTACGTAAGGAGTTGCATTAATTATATTATTTTTTCATTTTTTGTAATTAAGGAATAGTAGTTTGAAAATCATTTATCTTAACTTTATATTAGTAAGAAGTTAATACATGAGGGCCAATTCTTTTTAACAAAGAAAATTCATATCACAGAACATTTGTACATTAAAAAATAATAATAAACATAAACACATTTTACTTTGTTTTTCTCTTTTTATTCGATGTTTTTACATTTTGTGACTTTCGTTTTTTGTTCAAACGTGACGGGCCAGGCTGAGGTGATTCCTGTTCAATAGCAGCACCCGGGAACTCATTTCCATTCGCTGATAATTGAGATGCCACGCCATTGCTGCTTGTTTCATCATCATAATCAACATCCTGTAAAGGCATATTTAACACAATCAATGTTCAATAAATAAATACAATCGAGAAAAACCATACGTTGTGATCCCTCATCACTTCCTGAAGCTTTTTTGTATTTAGCCGGAAATCCCTTGTTGTTGTTAATTTGACATTCAATACCAATGTTGGGTCCTAGAAAGAAAACAGAGAACATCAATGTTACTATGGAGAGAAAAATTCTAAATGGTTTGACGTTTGAGGTGTAAGCAAGGTGAGGAAAGACGCTGCTGAAAATATTTAGCTTTTTAAGTGCACATAGAGGGAGGGCGTACACAACGACTTGATGTCGAATTTACAACTTGGCTTTGTTTTTTGTTTTGTCCCCCCCCCCCAAAAAAAAAACCTCGCTCCCTTTGTGTTGATATATCTGCTGTTGCAGATGCACATTGCTTTGTTAAAAATAAAATTCTGGTTCATCTGGAACCACCACAAACTGCAAAATATCTTCATAGTTTCACCAAATATAGAGGTCCTGCTATACAGGTGGGCTTAACGTCCGACTACTTATTGGTTGTCATGGATGAGGGTCAACCTATTTTAAATTATTTTTGTCACACTATTCTCAATTAAAAATCCAACAGATCTTGCGATGTCATTCGAACCCAGAATGGCTAGCAAATAGGACTCTCGGACGGCCTAACCACTCGACCACCGTGGACCCAATATTATGTATTTTTATAAAAACTTACTTTTGATTTTTTGCTAAGCAGGGTGACACACTTTGTAAAATTTTCGAGCTCGGAGACTAACTTTGGAATATAAACAGTCTGCTTTTTTGCCTGGCGCAGCATTTTATTGGAAATTTTTTTAGTATTTTCATCATGGTCTATGGACTAAAACAAAGATATCTTATTTATATTATAAATAAAAATAATAATAAAAATAATATTAAGAAACCTCTATATAAAGAAGAAAATCAGCTATCTGTGTGGACAAATTTGTTGCCGCCAACTTCACAAGCTTGCTGAATCTAAAACAAAATTAAATTCACCGTAATTCTTCGTAACATTAAAGATGAATTTTTTAAAAATGTACTTTGCTTCTTGATAACACTGATCCCCTCTCATCATAAAGTATTTTGTAAAAGAACTAAGGCAAGAATAAGCATGATGTAAAAGTTTGCAAGTGGTTTCAGCACATTCTTGCGGTATCGCAGCCATGCAGAGCCATTGTATTGCCGATACAATGAGGCCTAGTTCGGTAACAATCTCTTTTTCTTTTCTTTTTAAAACCTCCTTTCCTAAAGAGTTGAAAATTAGAAAATTTTGTTAAATGAAAATAATTTTAATTGCTTACTTGCTTGCGGCTCTGTTTGAGCTGCATCTGGTTGTGAAATGAGAGCAATTTCAGCTTTTACTCTAGTAATGACCCATTCAACAGCATCAAGACGAATATTGAGGCTTTGGCAAAGTATGGGGAAAATGCTGATTTTAGTTGCATCATTTACGAGCATTAAATTGACGGTGCCTTTTTCTATTTCTTCCTTTAAAAAATTAAATAAATAATTTAAAAAAAATTGTAATTGTGATCATGTCAGTGTTTAAATAAATATCTAATGGGAAAATTACATCAGTAATAGTGCTAAAAAGGGTGCAGAGCTGAAGAGCAAGATTGTCATGGAGTGTCGCCTCCCTTTTACACCTTATCAGCAACGTCAAGAGCAACGTGATCAGAGTTTTAACATTCTGTGTTGAATTTAACGTTTTAGTCAGGCATAAATCCAGCAACCATCTGTAAACCTGAAAAAGAAAACCAGTACAAACCATTAAGAAATTTTGTAAGACAAAAATACCTTATTTATGCACAATCCGTCAACAGGCAGTTCCAAAGATAGTAAATTAACTCCAGTTATAAGCGTCGTGACTAACAATTTTGTGTTTGCATCTCCTGCCTCATCTTCGTCACAATCCATTGCTTTACTCAAGTTCTTTAAGTAAGGTTTGAGGACGTTTTCTAGAAGTTTGTCCAGGCCTAGTTCTTCATTTGTACCGACTTGGGGAGAAAAAAAAATGTTGTCAAATGTAATAGTTTATTGTATGATGTTCATACTTACTGACTTCCTGAAGGAACTTTTCAAACCGTCGCTTGTAATACGACATAACCAGTGAACAACACTCATTGAAAATTTCAACTCCGAGCACAGTAGAAACTGGATCAAAATCCATTACTTCTTTAAATAATAACAGCACTTTATTGAATATCAAACTGTAATTATTAAAATTCAGTAAAAAAAAAAAACCTCGATTTTAAAGACTTCAATCTAAAATTTGCAAATAATATTTACTTGGCAAGTTTTGTGACTTCACTGAATGTTGTATGTGATTTCTCTTCAGCCAACTTGTTTTTGGTTTTGTGGAGGACGTCCAAACTGGACTGAAGGATAAAACGATGAAAGACTCTTTTCCCTTTCATCTCCGCAATCACATCATCCAGACACCAGTCAACAGATTCACTGAACACATAGTAATGAAGTTATTATTTTTAATGTCCAGTTGTTAATTCTCTACGCCCAGAGGAATACCTCCAGTTCTCAGGGTCGATAATCAATTTAAAAAAATAAAAAATAAGAGCACGATTGTTTTCATTCCTCAAAAACCCTAACATTTAGCACTGTCTGCACAACAATCATAAAAAATCAAAACAATAATAAACCAAAAAGGAAAAACTACCATAAAATCAAAGAGAGCATCCTATAAACTGTTGAAAAGTCAAAAACGGTTTCGTTCAGGCTGAACTGCTGCTTCTTCCCAGATACAACCGCAACAGACATATCCTTAGATTTCTTTTTTTGGGATAAATCATTTTTTGGAGGTTTGTAGTTCTGAAAAAATATTTGTACAAGGGTAAGCAGGTTTTTAGTTAATTAAAACTTTTTTTTAAATTCTGGATATCTGGGTTGAGGTCCTTGTTAACAACAAAAACTACATCTTTTTCTTTTTGTTTGAGCTTTTGGAGACTTTCTAACAATACCAAAACCAAGTTTGTAAATATATTTTTATTATTTTTAATTCCCTAATTTTGTGGTCTGCTTGACCAATTAATGTATTACAATTAATTAAGGTTTTTATCTCAACTAAAAACCTTAATTAATTGTAATTGTTTTTAATGTTAACCTCACGATCAAGTTTGGTCTTTCTTAAATGTTTCTGATAAGGCCCCATACTTGGTTGACAAAGCATTGATAAAAGGATAAATGTAATTTTTTTCTGTTACAAAGAACTCATCCAAAAAGATCGAAGGTCAATACTTTTAAGCATTTAAACTTTCAATAAATCCTACTTTAGAAAATTCTTCAAACTGGCTGTAAGCCCTGAAAAGGGCCATAAGCTTTTTGACATCCTCCGATGTCTTGTTGACATCCCATTTACAAATAATATAAGCGATCAGGGCCTGATAGACATTGACGAACTGGCATAGTTTTTCCTCTTTTAGTTTTCTTTCTAGCCCAGCCGTATCATCTTCCTGAGAAACAAGAATCCGAGTTAACAAAAATGCATTTTTTAGTAAATAAAAACTTACAATTTCTAAATGTGTAAGTTCACATTTTGAAAAACCGCCAACAAGCAAGTCCATGATTTTGCAAAGCTTCGTCCTGTTCGCTGAAAACTCATAGTCACCCTCAATGGCCGTAATCATTGAGTCTGACGTTACAATTATTTGCTGCATGAGGAAAACCAAATGTCCCAAAGGTTCCTTTTAAAATGTAAGTGGATTAGAGGACTTGATTAAGTTTTTTAATTTATTTACCTACTTTAATGACTACTTCAGTGTCAGTTACACTAATAGCTTTGTCGAAATTCAAAGGTGGTATTTTGTCGTTACTTGTCTCAAAATACTCTCCCAAATGTTCTAAGAAAACTTCAATAACTGGTAAACAAAGCTCAGAATTTTTAATAATCACCCTGTTTAAACCTAGGATATTCAGATAAAAATAATGATGCAGTGTACATTGTATTACATTTATTACAAAATACCTGTATAAAGAGTGACTTTTATGGCTAACTGTTGGGAAAAACATCTTTTAAGGATATTTATTATTTCTAAACACAGGCCTTCATTGTTGCCGTTATTTTCTTGAAAATTGTTAGCAGGTTGAGTATGTACATCTATAACAGTCTGATTTTTTATTAATTTTTTTTTTTTAATTGTTTAAACAGTGGATATTGGAAGAAAAATGTAAATTTACTTGAGTAAAAACACTTGGGCATGTGTATGCTTGAAACGAATTCTGACTGAGTGAATGCATCCCTGATATTTTCAACCTTTTCAAGAGCTGTAGAAAACCCGAGACGGCGACTCTTCTAGCACCTATGTCACTATTAACAATCTGTTATAAACTTGATCATTAATAAAGCTTTATTCATAAAAGACTTACTGGAGGAAAAGAGATTTACGCAAAATAAGAGTAAGATTATCTCTTAGTTTTGAACTCACTCTAAGTAAAGAAATTAGAGAATATAATATGCGACAAGCAGTGGATTGAGGAAATGAAGGCAGTGCTTCTAAAAGGTGATTGAGGACATCAACGTGTTCAAGGACCAACAGAGGTGAATTGTCACAAAGTTCTCCTAAGCAATCTGTAAAAAATTTATAGATCAAAATTACTTAAAAAAAATATATATATCCATAATCGATTTCTGCTTTGATAATGACCTGTGAACTGAATAATAAGGGGAGAACTCATAATGTTGGTTGATATGGAACTGAGCAAAGTTCTAGCAACTGGGCTGTGTTTGATGAAAATATTTACAGCAATCATTCGTCCAAAACGGCTCACTGCTTGCGATACTTTGTCCCCTTTTGTAGCAGTTTTCAGTAAAACCATACTTAGTGATACAAGTCCTCTAAGCACAGCTTCTATCTCACATGTACTGAGAATATATTTTTAAAAAATTAGTAAGTAATTTCTGTCATGTAGAAGGACTTAATGTCCAAACACCCGTTGGGTATCGTGGACAAGGTTAAGGACAAGGACAACTTTACAATATTTTCTTTATATTATTCAAAATTAAAAATCCACAGGCTAATCCGGGATTAGGACTCAGAACAGCTAGTGTGGCAAATAAAAGTCATAACACCCTACCCTAAGTTAGTATATTTAAAAAAAAAGAAAAAAAAAGTAGTATAGTTAATTTCAGTACTTACCCACTTTTAATAAGCTTTATGATGACCCCTTCTACATTGCAGAAAGTATTTAAAATTTTCCTGAGCCAATCTGACTCGAACCTTTTCTGTTCCTCAATCAGAAGTTTAACAACCATATTTTTCATAACATCCATGACCTGCAGGATTATAATATAGTAGAGCGAAAAGCAAATGAAAAATACAAAACCATACTTGAGTTTCAAGATGAGAAATATTTGATATTATGAGAAGAACAGAAAGTGTAAAAGGATCGAACATGACTTCTGAACAAGGTACACATGTTTTCGCATTTTTTATCAATTCAGTTATGCAGTTCAATGACCTTTTTGCGGCTTGTTCAATGTGGTAGAGCACCATCGCTTGACTATCATTGACATCCTTAACCGAGACATTTATATCATGTTGGCTGTCCAGCTGTTTTAAAGCAACCTTGTCACTGTCGAGCATACAAGAAGAATCATCCAAATGGTAAATCCTTTTGTTGTAATATTTCTTGAGGGCGAAGAACAAAGGCATTGCACCCTGATTCTTTGTCAAGTTGAGAAGCTGGTGTGTGATAGATGGGACTTCTTCAGGAGCAAGCTCCTGGATCTTCAAACACAGTTTGTTTGTAATTTTGGCATGCTCTTCTTGGTTCAGTGGAATATGACTAAAAATGTCTATTAAAGCTTCAATTGAATAGTGATATATAATCAAGTACTTACACAAACATAGAAGCAACTGAACACAGTACAGCGCTATTCCAATTAGGCTGGCACAAAGCATTTATGACCTGTTTTTTATAAGCTTCACCAGTCATATCAGTTCCATAGTGGTCGATTATATTTTTTTTAACTACAACTGACAACAGCTTTGGTAGTAAATCTTTCCAGCTGAAATTAATTTTTGAAATTGTGGTTAATATCGTACAGTATACATTGGTTAATCGAAAACCCACCTTGTTTGGCGATCAGTCTCACTTTTTGAAACATATTCCACACACAAATCACAAATTCTTATGACATGAACGTCAGATAATTTATCTACTTCCATAGCAAGCCAAACGAGTATAGCAGATACATTTTTCGAAGGTAGTTCGCCAGAATGAAATTCTTTTAAAAGTAGTTCAAAAAGCTAAAAAAAAAATAAAGAAAAAGGGTATATATTACATGTAAACTTACTATAATTACAAAAACCAACTCCTTCAAAATGAAACATATATAAACAAAATATATTAAAATCTCAATAACACACTCAAAACGATACACAACATTGATACAAATGCACAGAAAATACACTTTGAGTGAGTATAAATACTTTGACTAAACCTAAAACTTTCTATAGTGTGTACATCACTTTAAAAATTCATATTCATATGTATTTCTACAATTTAAATAATGTTTATAAATCCCAGGCCCTGAAGATGATCTCAATAAAGATTGAAACGTTGATACGGTAAAGAAAATGTTTTTCTAACCTTCATCACACCAGCCCGCATCTCACATTCTTTAAATAATCAGTAATTAACAGTCACTAAATATTACACATCATTAAAAAAGATATCGAAATTATGTTTTTTCTGTAAAATTCATACACAACATATTACAACACAATTTTTATTTATTTATTGGTATTAAATAAGAAGAAGACTAATTTCACTGAGGGTTCAACTAATTGAATTTTGTAATTTGGTCATTTCAGATTGTATTTGGTTGGTTAGAAATATTTTAGCTTCTCGCCTTTTTCAGTGGTGGGTTTGATTATCAGAAATTACTTAATTGAAGGTTGACATTTCTTGATGGAGAGCATGTCCTACAGGTTGAGTATGTGTTACCCAGTATAAAGATTGTATTGGACTGATGGTGGAATATTAATTAATTTGTGTAAAGGGGGATGGAGGAATATTTAGTACTCAACCACCCTAATTGAGTGAATGGTATATAAATAAGGAAAGAATGTATTTATTTAAGAAAAAGTAAAAGGGCGAGTGTGTCGAGGTATAAAAATTGCATGCATTGATCGCCTGGAGCCCAATTCAGCTGGAGGGATAAGACTGAGGTCGATAATTTAGTGAAATTTTACAAAAGGAGGCATTGCCACCAGGGCATGAGAAATTATAGTGAACCTCACAATAATAAAGGCAAAGGAACTCCTCTCTCTCTCTCAACAGGATTTGGGGAAAGTTATAGGCCTCTATACTGGCCATTGCCCTCTTAAATAGAAAGAAATGAGTGAGTGAGAGTGTAAATGGGTTTAGATTTTAAAACTGATGCCTTGGGGCATGATTGTGTTGGGGGCTGAAATGATCTAGCTGTTGTCAGGCCCCTAGGCAGCCTAATTTTTGCGGCAGGAGGGATACGAACAAGATCTGACCCCGGACAACTCTGATCCTAATTTACTATAAATTACCCAAAAGCATGCCACAAAAAGTCATAGGTTTGATGCTGTACCTGTGTGTGTGTGTGTGTGTGTGTGTGTGTGTGTGTGTGCAGAATTGATCTTACATAAAACAGTAATCAACCATTTACTTCCTATAGTCATGCAGAACTCAAAGGAAATTTCATTATTTATTGAATTTCATTTTGACTGAAAATAAGTCTTCTAGTTTTTACATCTTACGATTATGAAATGTTTTTCTCTTAAGGAAAGAACCCACAGCTCAATGGTAGTCTGAAGAAGCAAGTACCGTTAGAAGTTCAATTCCATCCATTTCAGAATGTTTTCACTTTGTATGCAGTTTAAATAAATTAAACTTATTGAAACAAAACTTTTTTGCTATTCAACAAAGTTGAGTAATAAACTATCTAGAAAACTTGGATCTCACTAGAATCTGAGGTGACTACAGAGATAACTTGGATTTATCAATGAATAAAACATGGAAAAAAGGGCTGTTCAAATGAAGTTGTATGATGTCTAGCAGCTTTGAGATAGTCTTCTCTAGTGAGAAGGGAGCCAATTCCAGGTCAGCAGAACTACAGGTCACATTCCGGCTAAATTTTGGACGTTTCGTGCTGCTAATAGCTTGGTATTATTCCCCTCTTGAAGGGCTTCAATTTGGCCATTCTGCCATGAATAATTGCAATATCACTAGGACATTCTTAAGGCTAGTACACAGTCGTAAACAAAACCGCATAAAAAAATCAACAATTTTGACTGTAGACTGCTGAGGAACAAATCCAAGATGATCTAGAACCTTGTCACGCGCCCACACCTGCACAGCTCAGTTAAACTCATTTCCGTGATGACATAACAAGTGAGATAGCGGCCTGTGGCTTTGCTGCTTGTGCAGTTTTAATTGTTGATCAAAAAAGGAAAATCAATCGTAAGCTTTGGTGGGCAAGGAAGTTTTAGCAGATGGTCCTACATTTGGATTGATTCTTCTGTAAAAATTAAAATTAGAAGATAGTTCAGGTCAGACATTTCACCTGACTAACCACCACATATTTTGAAAATTTGCTACTTATGGTTGTAAATAAAATATGCAAGCAGAAAACAAGATTCGCAGCAAACAGTACTGCCTCTCAACAGGCTAGATTTAAGGAAAATTATTGGCCACTGCTCTTAACTACCACCTGAAGGTGGGCAGAGAGAGAAACAAGCTGTCTCTAACAAGAGAGAGACCAGAGAAACTGGCACATATCCTTTGTGAAATTGAGGCACTAGGGGATATATAGTACAGCCACTTTGGTAAGGCATTTCTCACACCAAGTGAAGTAAACGAAGAGGCATCGATGAAAATGCTTAGTTTTGAAAAAAGCAAACTTTCCACTGCATGGTCTTAATCACAGAAGTTCCACAAAAGGCCTGTAAGATAAGTCTGAGAGGATAAGAAGTTGGGAATCATTCTATAAAAAAAAGTCCCAATATTTTTGGCAAATTTTAGTTACTGATGTTATACAGGAGTCTTCTGTATATCATATTCACCTATATAGCAACAGGTTTATAAAATAAAAATATATATTTTTTAAATGTTATTTAAGTCTGTCTATTACCTTGATTCTCTTTTTTTGCGAAGGGTTCTTTAGGGAAAGACCGGAGAACAAAGCGTTGATTACCTGTGGACCACCGGAAAAATGTACTCTTGATTTAACTAAACGTTCCAACTGTAAAATAAAAAAATGTGTACATTTGGTTTGTATATTTTAAAAGAACATATTTTCAATATATCTACTGTCTTGTAGTCAAGCTCCTCGACAAAATCCACGAAGGATTTAAGATCTTCTTCACTTTTACGTCTCTTGCCAAACAACTGCATTAAATTTTCAACTAGTGCGTCCTCGTCCATTTGTTAATGGGAGAATTTAAAATGTTGTTGCAGCTTGCAGGAGCAAAATAAGTAAACAGCTATCACAGTTATCACAATGATAACATTTCGAGCCAGAACCGACACCCCGCTGTCATAATTTGCCGCTTTACCTGTTTAGTGTTAAGCATCTAAATAATTATTAATTTTGATCTGTTCTGAGAATAAATCCAGAAAAGCGGATTGCTTCATTTTGTAAATATAAATTCTTAAAAAAATTTAGCAGAGAAATGTATGAATATAAGTTATAATAAAGGAGTATATGTGAATGCAACAAATAATGGAAAGATTAGCGGCAAAAAATATATATTTCAAATATAACGGTTATGGCAAAAAGATTTTTTTGATCAGTAGTACAGGAACTTTAGTAGTTTTTCATTGGAAACTAATCTCAGTTGTTTTATTTTTTTAATTGGCCGTTTCAACACCTCACAAAGTGTCATCTTAGGCTAATTTATAACATTATATGCTATAATAGTACAGTACAGTTTAATTAGCTGAAAAGGACACTTGGTGAGATGTTGAAACGGCCAATTAAAATCTAAAACAGCTGAGAGTATTTTCAAATAATAAAATTTAAAAAAATATCAATAGAATAGAATCAATGGGCAGACGTCTGGGGATGCCTGCTGATGACCTGCCCCTAAATTCAGATTCAACAAAAAAAATTCAAATTCAAATACCTGGTAGAACAGACTGGGTTAAAAGGATCCCAGTTGATGAAGAAAGGGCAGAAAGGGTAGAGGAGGAACAAAGAGGCTGATAAATTAGCCAAGGAAAGTTCGATGAGGACACATATTCCTCTAAACCTTTTATGGCATACCAAACTGCTAGAAACATGGATCCATTAGACAATGGATTAAAAATAAGACATAGAAATGATAAATGATGGAGTGAGTGTGGTGTTCAATCCTTTTTAAAAATAAGTCCTCCATTCAATGGGAATTTAGCCCAGGATGGCAGAACTACTAAATCTAGGATATGTTAGGACTAGAACTTGGACTCCTAACTGGACACTACAGACTACAGAGGCATATGTATAGGTTCAAAATGGTGGAAACAAGCTTGTGAAACTGTATAGACATTGCCAGGAGACAATGGAATGCCCTCTCGAAGGCTTATGAGATTGATGAGAAAGCTGAGATTCTTACTCATACTCCTAGGAGGAGAAAAACCCAGGCCTGTACTTTGAAAAAGCTTTGGGATCTGGTAAAAAGCCTTAAGCTTAATGAGGAGTTCTAGGCAACAACAATGGATATTCAAAACAGGCTTATTCTGTGTGCCTGTAATGCGCATATCATAAAATCATTATCATTTAATCTACTATTGATGAATAAGGACTCAGCAACAATAAAGAAAGAAGAGATATTTTTTCCATCATTTACATTTCTTCTTTCAACTAGTTGCTATATGTTTAAATTACATAATAAATTTATATCAAAGATATTTATGAATTTTGGGCTATCAACTGCTAGATCATTTCAGCTGCCATGCAATCAATCTCTAAATCCAAACCCAATCTCACTCTCACTCACTTTTAAATACATTCTTCCCCATTTACATACCATTCACTCAGTTAGGGTGGAAATGATTTGATATCCTCCCCATGTATTGGGTACTCAATATTCTGCCATTGTCCCTATCACACTAAACATTCAATAAATACAGTCACTTTGTACAATTTACTACATACTATAAAACATCCCTGTATCCTCTAAAATCAGAACAGGGGATTCAAGAGCGTAATTCTCATATCAGGTAGCATTCCTACATGCTCTCTATATGGAACCAAGGAGTGTCACCCTTCGAGGACATATACACAGCCCAAAAGACAGTGTCTGTCAGTCATCATCGCACGGCCTATCCTTAATCGGGTGAGGATGACTTTCTATGAGTCAGATCCTCCAAGAGTTACTTATCAACAGTTATTTTGATACGTGAGAGCTTTTTTGCCAATCCCCAAATGTCCACCGAACATTTCACAATTATCTAGTTTCAAGTAAAAACCACAATCTGTTGTCATCTCCATTAATTGTACGATCCGTGGAAAATAGGAATACAGATTAATTTATTTTAAACATAACAATTATCATATTAAAGTCTTAATAACTACCCACCACTGTTGTTGTTTTTGGTTTACCAGTTCTTAATGAAATGGAATAAAGCATGAAATATTAATAAATTCAGAATTAAATATAAACATATGCTTATTCATTTAACCATTTCTTAAAATTTTGTTGGAAAATATGCATTCTCCTCATATGGAATATCATCATTAACAACAAATAATTGTGTTTATTGTATCATTTTTCACAATAAAGCTATGTGTTAATATGTTTCTTGTTATGTTTAAAAATAGTTAAATGACTGATTTTATACCTTATTTGGTCATTTCGTTTAGAATTGTTTTTCATAAAAAATATGATTAATTTCATACATTTGTTTATTTTATAAACTGTAAGAAATACTTTTTTAAATAATAGCTTTAGAATTAGAATTTATTTAAAACAATGCTTAGCCTTTTTCTACTCCTGAACTTAAATGGATTCATTGGAGTATATTCTTACACTTTCAATTCAGCCGTTTCCAGCACAAAATTCGATGTATTTGTGAACGTCGGAACTGTACTTTTTACCAAAGACGATATTTCAAAACCTTGCTGGAATGTCGATGATTTAACTTTGCTCGCTGCAAGGCGAATCATGCAGGACCTTGTACCGAAAAGACTGCCAAAAAATTTCAGAGCGCTTCACGCTTACGTAAGAAAGTGTATGGGAAGAGTTCAGCAAGAGTGCTTATCGAATAAGACTATTGAAGTAAGTAACGCAAATTTCATACCATCAAAAAAATTCTTAAACGGAAAATTTGTCATGCAGATAATGAAAAAAGCCCTGTTTGATGCTCTGGGCGGTTATCTACACTCGGTCGCTATTCCCCTGTTAAACGAGGGATATTATGCGGGAAACGTCGATTATGAAACCATGGCTGGGCTTCATGGCCAACTGGCAGATATGATGGCTTTTCTAAAAACTGATGGGGGAGGCTGGACTGATCCTTGTGACATGTCAAAAATTCCAACCAAGGTGAATTTACTTATAATAATGTTCACTTGGTTATCAGGGATGGGGTCAAATAAAATATTTCCAATATTAAATCTTCACCTTGCATTTGGATTGTACCTTCTTCAGGGCTTGATTTTTAGTCAGAAATAAAGAAACTTGAAATGTTTTATTTTCATGCTAACACTGAAAGTTTTTTCTCACAGACAGTAGAAATAAAAATACAATATTTTTTGTAACAATTTCAGTGTTAGCATGAAAATAAAACAATTCAAGTTTATTTACTTCTGACTGAAAATCAAGCCCTGAAGAAGGTACAATAAAGTTCCAAAAGCTAGGCGAAGATTTAAAATATTTTATTTGACCACATCCCTGATAACCAAGTGAACATTATCTGTATAAGATGGTCGATAAATCTAGAAAACATTTACTTATAATAGTACTCTTTAGTGTTTCTAAAATGAAGATCTTTCAGGTTTCTGTTCTTCCAATGGAAATGTGCAATCTGGAAAACTCCTGCAAACCATTTACTTTGCCGTATGATCATTCCTGTGAATCTGGCAAGTATTGTTTTTTTTTATTAATATTGTTAAGTGCAAAGCAATTATATTGACAATATAGTCTTATACCAAGTAAGCTCGTATTATTAATTATTGATACATTACTTCTAATTTGTAAAATATTTTCCTTTTTTTCTTCTTATGTTATAGTTTTGTAGTCTTTTATGCATTGATAATTATTTACAATGTTAATTTTCTTATCCAACATATCTATTCTTTTTGTTTTTGTTTTAGAAACGATCATTCCTATGCCTTTATTGGATGATGATGTAAATCCAAGTGCTATAGCAATTCCTTTAAAGGTAAACTCAAATAAATGTCTACTAGCATGCTGGGTTTGTACAGCAATCACCATTAATAATATTCAATAATATTAAAAGGTCTTAGAGACTACATTGAAGGTACTGAAGTACTGACAGGCATACCAGTATAATTAAAAAGGATCAACCTTTTATACTCCATCAACCCCACAAGCAAATTTATTACACAAATATAATAAGGTTTTTCTTTTTCTTTTAGGAACGCTCTCTATACAGTTTAATGTCAGAGTGTTCAGTTAATTTACTGCCAAAATATTACATCTTAGCAATGAGATGTCTCACACATCGTTATCCCACTGTGAACATAGTAAATTTCAATCAGCGTTTACAATGGTGGATTTTAAACAAAGTTCGTCCAAAAATTCCTTACAAATAGGAGCAAATCAAATAATCGAATTTTGTTTTTGTTTTTCAGGTTGCGCCCCATCTGGATACGATAGAAAGCTGGTACCCCGGGTTTGGAGGGGTGATGAGGATAATAGAGACGATGAACCAAAAAGGTCTTTTAATGGATGACTTATTATTGAAACAGAAAGAAAAGAACAGGACATCTTCAGTATTGAACTCAATTGTCATCGATAATTCAAAAACTAGCACAAACTATGATGATACAAGTTTTAGCGATAATGATGATGTTGGTCAAAATTCAATCGTCTTCAAATTTAGCTGGTCTTGGAAATCCATTTTACTAATGATTTTACTCGGTCTTATTTTATTATGGGTCATCTATTATATAATATGGGCAATAAAGGTAAAGATTCAAAAGCGTAAAACTCGAGGGTAATTATTTCATACTTATACTTTATGATGTTATTTTTTTTCTAATATTAAAACTTATTTTACAGATATGTCTGTATTAAAGATGGAGGTAAATATAATATTCACTCTATAACCATGAAACTATCTTAGTTTTTTAAAGCAAATTATTTCTACTTGGAGTCTAAAAATAACAAGGGGTGTAAAATTAGTAGGGTTAGACACAAAATTATCAGTAGTATTACAACATGAATATCATAGTTTTTATTTTTTTATAGATTCAAAATTAGTGAATACATTGGTATCACTTTATAATGGGATTAACAAATCAGAAAAAGGTATGTTATAGCTGGACTAAAATTTCATGAATTTGAAGCCTTTAAAGCCAAAGAAAAAGTTTTAATACTACACTTCTCCACAAAAAGCGTCGCTCTTTGAAATTGTGATTTTTTTATGTTTTGTCTTTTCAGTAATATTAGCACCTACATTTTTTATAATTTAGGTATTTATTAAAAGATTATTTTTGGTTAAATCTCAACTAAAGTAACTTTTATCTCAGCTACAGTTGTAGGAGGTTTATTTCTTTGTTTTACTCAATGTTTCAGCTCGTCCCAAAGTGTACAAATCAGTTCTATAAGCTGCCCTTCTTATAAAGCATACATGAACGTCATGAAGGTACTATATAGTACTATTGGTGAGTGGTGACTTATTTCTTGCATAAACAAGAATTGCTTGCCAATAACAGGAGCAAATAGCACCACATATTCCTCAAGAATGTCTGTTTCATAGAGTTCTGCATTAACAGCCAATTAAAAACATGTAACTCTGTTCTTGCCTCTAAAGAAATTAATTCCATTCCACATATAACTTAACCATCCCTGAACAACCCTCTTCCGGCAATGTTGCATTGGCTGTAGCGCTCTACTGCTGCTTGATAAAATTGAACATGACCTTCTACTGATTGGAGAAAAACTGGGAATCGTCTGAAAACATAACATTTCTCCATTCAGTTTTTGTTCATTGTCGGAGTTCCCTTGCAAACTCTAAGCAACCCCAATGATGGTCTCTAGTAAGCGCTGGGCCCATTGGTGACCTTCTGGGATGTAAACTAATTTCTGCAAGTCTCCTTACTGTTTCACACTAATCGGCACATCTTGCATTCGAAGTCTTTGAGATTTTTCAGAAGCATTGGAAAAGTGATTTCTCAGAATGCGCAATGTGATAAATCAGTCGTCGGCTGGTCCTATGGCTTTTGACGGACCGCAATTCAGGCAAACTTAAAACTCGCGATTACCAATTTCTTCCATCCTCAACGAGTGAAACGGCACGGGCTACTTGCTCACTGATTATGGCTATTTTCCTAATCGTTTTGTTTTGTGCCACCGACACAAAATATTTATAGGCATTTTTAAAGGATTAACTGCCCTTGATTATTTAAATTGTGGGGGTTTTAAATCAAATTAGTAATTAAGCAATTCAATCTGCGATAAAAACAAATATTTTCCAATTTTCCATCTAATTATAAATTGTTAAATAATTTTTGAAGTAGTAAAATAAAATATGGTAAAACATTGTCAAATTAAAAAAGAAAAAAAAATCAAAATTTCAAAGTGCACCACTTTTTTGCATAGCAGTGTATTTACAATTAGCTTCTTTTGGGTAACAAGTTGAAAAAAAATCTTAATGTAGTTATGAGTGGCATATTTTTATTTTGTTTTCTCTCAATAAATTGTATCAAGAATTTTGATAAAATTTTAAACTATGTTTCAGATATATTAAGTCCGGAAACCGATTACAGGTGCGTATTAAATTATCAACAACCCTGAAAAAACAAATAATCAATGTTTATTATTGTCTATTTTTATAGCCATTCGTTGACTAGTACAATCGTAAGCTATTTATACCGTAATTATTTATATATGAACAAAATAAATTAATAGTAATTATGTTAAAGAGGACATACAGTGACTATGAGTCGAGCCCTAAAAGCTGCAAGCGGTGTTATAAACAGCAAGCTGGCAAATTCGACAGAGGAGTAAAATAAAAAAATGTGTATAATCTTTATATATATTTAAAAAAATAACAATTTCTTAAAAAGAAGTTAATAGATGACACACATCATGGAACAATATAGCAATTGAAGGCATAAACGCTGAACTTGATTTTATAATAATAACAATAGTAATAAATAATAAAGAGTTTTTTTCTCTTTCACACACCATTAATAAAAAAATCGTATACTTTAAACAACAATAACAACTTTGTATACAAGTTCATATAAACAGCATTCGTATGCTGAACTTGATTTAATTATAATAATTAACAGGTCGCTACTCCATTAAAATAACAAAGGGACCAGTATTTTCCTGTCTTTTGGATAATCTGGGAACTGGCTTTTGTACCACTGGTGAGTCAGGACAGCAGAGAAAACCTAAAAATATAATTTTTTTTATGAGTCCTTTAAAGTGTTTTTGCCAAGTAAAAATGCGTTTACCTGATTTGACACCACCCAGAAAATAATAAAAGGAAATGAACTATTTCCTAATAGTATAAGTCCAAGTGTGACGTACAGCATGATTTCACAAAACAAATGAGGGCTCGAGACATACTCAAAAAGGCCTCCTCGTGGAATTAAATGTTTATTTGTGACAACATTACCTTAAAAATATTTAGATGTGATACACCATACAAACTTAAATATACATGAAAAATACCTTTTTTGTCTTTGCGCAAATTTGCTAAAATTTTTGCAGAATCCAATTGCATCCACCAGAATAACAAAAATATCATAGCCTCTATTATGAAAACATAGTTTACCTCCTTTAAATTTAGTGCAATATCAAATTTGCCTATCATAACATGGTTTTAGTACTTTTTAATGTTTATAAAACTACACCAATAATTATTACCAGGTGAATGTGTAAATCCAGGTGTTTCAATCATTAGGGATACAATGACTCCGAAGTAATGGATGTAGCCAAGGAGGTAGTGTCCTATATCCATAGTAGAATTTGAAAAAACACTTACATATGAGGTCTCATAGAATCGTTTCCAGCACTGCATTGTACACAGAATAGCTGCTACAAATGCAGACGTGGCTGAAACTGTGACAAAACGTCAAAATATTTCTAAACAAGCTGGCAAAGATTTTATACCATTTGCCTTCCTACTACCGCCACCAAATATGTCCAAAAACTTTTGAATGGCCGCTGGAGCAGACTCACGACGAGTATAGACCCACAACATGAGCAGAAGAACGAGTGTCGAAATTATGGAGGAGAACACGTAAAAATGAACAAACCATCTGAAACAGATTGGAAAAGAAAAACAATTCAGTAACTTGTGTATAGAAATGTAAAAATTTATTTTGTTTTATTGTGTTTGTTTGTGATGTAATGAACGTAGATGATTGACCCTAATCATCATGGACAATTGTCACACTGACAACAAACATGATATATTTTATCTGTTTAAACATTGTACATTGTCCACACATTACACTTAAACAAACATCTACATGACAATATTCTTTGGACTATGTCAGAGCCATTATGTATGAGAAAATTAAGTTTACAGTTAACATTAAAACATAGTTACACTGAAATACGTACTTAGAAATTAAATTCCTCAATTAACATATTTCTGTACAATGATGCATATTTTATAAATAGAGCCAGATTAACCCAATTATTTTCATTAACTAAATCAAAAAATTCTTTTTCTGAGAGGGACTTTAAATTAAAAAACTGCACCCTATGATAGTGGAGGGTTGGGCATTCAGCAGCTTTCAAACTTCCAAAATACATAATGAACACTTTGAAGTTTACTATGGTGAGCCATGATTTGTAAATTCAAGTTCTTCATTTCACTCCATAGCCTCATAATGAGCTGTTTTTATTCAAACTTTAAGTCTTCAGCCATATAATTTAAATTGAATTTTAAATTATGATAGATTTTGTGAAACAGTGTTTTGCTGAGAATAGGAATCCCTACATTTCTTTTGTATTAATGGCAGCTAATATATGTTATATTAGGGTTGATCCACTTTTTACACTTGTCATTCTGCCCATCATCTAATTGTATGTACATTGCAAGTATAGGCCAGTTTTGATACTAGGTATTTTATGTTTTATAATTTTTATAGTTACTAGATAGGTTAACTTGTCCCTAGAATGAGTTAATACAAAAAAGTGCAGCTTTATACATACGCAATTGGACGTAGTATTCCTTCCTGTTTTCAAATGTACAAAGTATGTTATAAGTATTAAGACAGATAGAAAATCTGTTTATGAAACAGTCTTTTCATTTTATCAAGCTCTTGGTAGCACTCCCATACCTGACAAGGTTAACAACTAACAGCCCAAAGCACTGCATCAAAAATTTTGTATTTCGCATGTATACATTTGATAGTTGTCGATATAATCATACCATATGGAACCCTTTCTACCGTTGTTAATTTATTTTTTAAATGGGACTAAAATCAAGGAACTATTTAATTTTATCCTAAGATTTATTAATTATGTACTACTTCTACTGGCGTTCTTATATATTTCCACTATCCATCAGCACTATTTCTAATATTCTCTTTGTTAAATAGTACAATTTTAATTTTATGTATATATTTACAATTATTAACATATTTATATTGAGGGGAGCAAATCAATATTATTCTCCCACTTATTTTATATCGTATTATTCTTCACTTCACTAAACTTCACTCACTGCATACTATTCAGAAGGGTCGAAGGACCAATTCCTCTTCAGATGTCTTATGGGATTGTAGGGATGGGTTCTGTAGGACAAGTCTTGGGCGAGATTATTGGGGTGGTGGGAGAGATTATTGTGGAATGTAAATATTTGTATAAATGTGGATTTTAAAGTTATTGTGGAGGGTAATATTGGAGACATAATTTGGAGCATTTATTACTGATATGAGGATTTTAAACTATAGGGATTGGAGAAGTTGGACACTGGATTCCCACAGTTCTATACTGTATGCCTAAACCTAGATAGCTTGGATTGTTGTCCTATAAGTTTGTAGAATAGACCGTTGCGACTGTTTAGGTCTTGTCGTTTCTTTAGTGCATGTTGATTCCATTCAGTCTAGGTTGAACCCAAGGTATGTAGTCGGATATGAGGATAGGAACATTGTTGTAGAATTTTTCAACAACTTTCATTTTTAAGGCCTTTGGTAAGAGTCTCTTTAATTAATATCTTGAGTCATTGGAGAGTCTGTTCTGAATTCTTGTTTAGGCCCTTGGTGAGAGCCTTCCATGCATACATTGAAGATCTAGGGGGGTCTTGTTGATTTTGCTCGGAAAGCCTGGTTTTACAGGTATGAATACATTGGAATGTAGGGAATTAATGTTCTTTTCGTCTTATTTTGTTTCTTTTTTGTTTGTGTTTTGTTTTATTTTTTTGTTCTGTTTGTCTTAATACATATAATTTCTAGTTTGTGGGGTTCTAAATGCGAATTCTGTTGGCCTGTGGGGGACCCTATGTAAGTTAGAATCCTTTTGTTCTTTGAAGTGTCATTTTTATTATTTTCAAAATTTATCGCAATTCAACCTTGTAATTTCGAAATCCTGTAAATAATTGTAACCTCTGAAGTTGATATTTTAAATTCTCCTTTTCTCATAATTATATAATTATGCATATTCTTGGGATAGTAATGCACTCCGAACTCTGGCTGACGGTTTTAATACCATGCCATAATAATACTGTGTTTTTTATTTTTAACTTTAAATTTTTTCATTTTGTAAATAAAGTATATCTATCTATCTATCTATCTATCATTGAAGATCTAGGAGAGCCTTCCAACAACTTTCCTTTTGAGGCACTTGTAAAGTTTTTTAAACAATGATCGTATTGAGTCTCTAGTAAGTTTTTTCAACAATTTTCATTTTTGATGCCTTTGGCTCTTCAATGAATATCTTGAGGTCCTTGGGAGAGATCTCTTTGAAATTCATGCTAAGGCCCTTGGTGAGTCTTCCAACAATGCAAACATTTGAAGCCATAAGATAGTTTTCCAACTTTTGTTTTGAGGTTCTTGCAGATAGTTTTTTTAAACAACGATCATATTGAGTCTCTAGGAAAGAGTTTTTGCAACAACTTTAATTTTTTAAGACCTTGGTGAGAGTGTTCAATGAATATCTTGAGGTCCTTGGAGAGAATCTCTTCATAAAACGCTTATATCGAGGCCCTAAGAAAGGCTTACAAAATTATTTTGCAGTCCTTGGAATGAGTCTTCCAACGACACTGGTCAGTTCAACAATTTTAAGACAACTGAGTTGTGAGAGATTCGCTTCATAGTATAAATGTGGCATGAACGCATTTGCTTTCATTTATTTTCTTTTTCCTTTGTTTACAATAAGCTGTTATACATGAGATATGTCTCTGCAAATATTCCTAAGCAACCGTAGGATCAGGGTTATATGATAGTACAGCTGTAGCATCGGCAAAAGTTGCAAAAAGGGTGGTAGGTTTAGGGGGAACTCCTGCAGTATAAAGGATATAGAGGACTGGTCTGAGCACACCAGCCCTGTAGTACTCCCTCTCTATAATTACTTGATTCATTTTGTTGTAAATCTATTGATTGCGCAAAGCTCTGGAACAAAACACTACAGTCAAACAATTCATTGTAAGATGGAGCAAATATTTTTTTATTATTTCCACCGTTATTAGAAAAATCACTGGATATTCTGTCCAAACATAGGGCCCAACGCATAACAAGAGACCAGCAAACCTGAAAACCACGTTGTTCAAGCTATTCAACAAAGAGCAGAATAAACAAAATATACATACTTTAAGTCTTTAATATAGGCTTTTAAGTATGTACTTTACTCATTAAATATCATGTATCAGACAGAAAGTTGGCCATCCACTTTTAATGGCCAGTTTGGTAGGTTCATGTTTAGTAACTTTTAAAACAACTTCATAACTAAAAGGTAGACGTTACCGTTTTGGAACTCTAGCTGTTACGAGGCGTGCAGGGCCTGAATAGCTGAATTTTCCGTATCTGTACAACTGCGGTATGAACGGAGGCAGGCTCTTTTCATAGTATTGGATGAGGGCGCCCAGAAAAACGACCAAGAATATTATCAGCAAGAAAATCCACTGTAACAAGCTGAGCATGTTTAAAGTTAAGCAACTGTTGCGATTTTCGACGAGCAGGCAAGAAACGGAACAAGTCAATATTTAATCGAGCAAACACTTGTTAAATAGGCCAATAGTCCATTATTACAGTTTTTATCACTACCCGCTACTCAGTACCCTTCGATAACGGGGCTTGAAAATCCCGGTAGTTTCGAGAGTCAAGGCCGTTTACAAATGCGAAACAGACTTCAGTTGATAAAAGTGTAAAATATTTACCGTTCATATTTATACCTTCAATAATTAAAAGACAATAAAATTAAAATTACAGGCGGACAAGGACATGAAACGATAAAGTAGAACTGAGAACTTTGATTTATTTAGTTATCAACCATCCATGGTCAAAAAATACTATTGTAAAGAGGAGCGCCACCAAGCCATTTTACAAAATATGATATGATGACCATAAGATTCAAGGCTGAATTTATTATAGTAACTATTTATTTGTTTAAAGGCAATTATATCTTAATTAACANAAGAAAAACATAAAATATGTGATTATACTGGTAGTTAACTATTTACAAGTGAAATATTCCTAAAAAGGAATTTGATTCTCATTAATAGTTCCTCTCTCCGATGTACTACGTCCAGCCGATCGTTTTCCTTTGAAATAGATCGTAATTCCTATTGCAAAAAATACAATACAAAATGTTATTACAAATATTATTATATAAAAGTTCATATTGGAGTCCATGGCATTGTGGCTTTTGTTGATAGGTATGACGCTCTGCAAGGGGATTTCCTCCAACGTGAACTGCTTGAGGTGAATTTCCATGTCCGGATCGCTTCGGGTTGTGTGGAGATTCAATTTCGGCAGAATCTTCGTTTGGCCTTTGCTGATAGATTTAGGTAAGAGTTCTTTTTTCCTGTAGATGATTCGGGTCTGTTCTCCATTGACGAGGAACACTCCTTGAAGCTCCCTCGTTTCTGAATCGTGAAGGCTTGCGATTGTGATTTTCTCCGGGCGTACGAAAATAATTAAATATTGGTTTGTTTCTTGGATAAACTTGATATGATTATCTGCAATATGAAGATCTACGAATGTGCAGGTGTATGATGTTTCATTTATCATCAGCTCTTGTTCGCATCTCGCATGGAGATTAGATATCTCTTCTTGGGAACACTGATAAAACAAATCCGCGTGTTTGCAAGTTTGTCTCAAAGGTTTAATATCATCTCCACCTACAGATTTTAACAAATATCTACTTCCTGGGATGATCGTAACATAATGCGATTCAATCTTTGATGGGATAGAATAAAGTTTAAACAGTTCATATGTATGTTGATCGTTGATAGGTATGGAGAGGGCATAAATGATTTCATTACGATGTATTTCACAACNTATATATATATATATATATATATATATATATATACATAACATATTCTTTACTCAGGTCCAATGGAAATTTATTCACATTTATGTACATTTTCGTTTTAAATTGGTGGTTTAAAACTGTACAAGTATCAATAGTACAATTCATTTATTTCCCACTTAATTAAATGTCGTTTCTTGGCTCTGTATAGAGAGTGTGTAAGAACGCCACCAAATATGAAAATTTGTGCTGGGCCAATGTTGGAATATTCCATGCCCAATTACCATCAATTAGATTAGTTATAGGAATGTGTGCAAAGGGCGATGGAGGAATATCGAGCACTTCACCCTAATTGAGTAAATGTAAATAGGAAAGAATGTATTTAAGAGTGAGTAAGCGTTAGTGTGTCTAGGTTTCAAAATTGCAAGGGTTGAAGGCTGAAATGATCCAGATGTTGACAGGCCCTGGATCCTAACTTTGGAGCTGAACATATAATTCTGAGGACTGTCTAAACAAATTTATAATAAATTACACAAAAGCAGTTAGTGGCTATGATAAATCATAGATTTATCAATCTCAAAAAGAAAGGCGAAGGAATTCTTCAACAGGCAAGATTTGGAGGAAATTTTAGGCCTCTTTACTGGCCACTGCCCTATTAACTAGGAAACTATGAACTTATGATTGAATGAGAGTTTGAGTGGGTTTGGGGAAAAAAAACTATTGCTCTAGCTGTTGACAGTCCCTGGAGTCTAACTTTGATAGCTGGATGGATAAGAACAAGATATAATCCTGGACTGCCAAAACCTGAGTTGGGGCTCTTGGCCTGCCAATAATTTATTCTAAAATACACAAAAGAGGGATTACCAACAAACCATGAAAAATAGTAAGTCTCTAAAAAAAAGAAGGCAAAGAAACTTCTCTCTCTCTCTCAGTAGTCAAGATTTGGCAAAAATTATAGGCTTTTTTACCAACGACTGCCCTCAACTAGATAATAATTAGTGGGAGAGTGAGTGGGTTTAGATTTAAAAAATGATACCTTGGGGCCTTAATGACCTACCTGTAGACATTACCTAGAGAATAATTTTGGCGGTAGGACAGATAAAAACAAGGTTTGATCCTGAGGTGGATGATTCTCGCGGCCTGATTTACAATATATTAAACAAAAGGTATTTCTAGCAGGCTGCAGTCATATGTTTAATTACATGTATGTGTGTACATCTACATGCAGAATAGAGCTTATCAGTAATCAATCAATTTCCTACAGTCTTGGTACTATATGGGGGTGTGATTCTATTAATAATATAAACTGTAGCATATTCAGTTTATTTCTTTTTACTTTTTATCCTAGGTTAACAACGTTAGAACTACTTATTGGCTTGAACTCTCAGAGTTTGTACATCTTTGGTTTTCCCAGGTTTTTGGATGTGACCTTTTTACATGCTGCTTCAGGCAGCATGGCTCTGTTCCTTCAAGTAGAGAAACCTACGAGAGGACAGATCCAGTAGTCAGTTTAATATGTGTTCACCAATTCACAAACTAACAACCACCATCCACTTTGCTATAACAGCCAAATTGTAAGTAAATAGTCTTTTGATTTTAGGGTTTGAAAATGCTGATTGGTAATTGTATGAATTTTACAGCTCTAATCACGGTGATATAATCGTTGCAAGCTTGTCAATAATTCATTATTTTGCCATTTATTTTATTCCAAACAAAAACAATCGGCAATGCTGTTAAAACTTGTATTTAGCATATTTATTCTTGTTTGGTTTAAGGCTATGAAGTGGATTTATTTTGTTTAACCTAAAAATAATTTAAATGTTACATGCACAATGTATTTTTCTATTGGTTTTTATTGTGACATTGCAAGTTTGGTTTTGGTTTTTTAAAATAAATATATACATTTAAGAGTTTATGTCAGTTAGTCTTATTTACAATTCAAACTAGCCTAATGATTTATACTATAGGAAGTAGTTTAACTAAACCATGACACTGACTTTTGTGTCACTTTCTTTCCTTGGTGCAGTCCACTTCTCGCTCACCAACCACAACCAACTAGCTAACTGCTCGTTTTGTGCATCCTGACTTGTTCTTGCCTCAGCACAATTGCTAAAAACAAACATTAAATTAATTCCGAATAAAATGTAAATACAATTTTCAGTATTACTCGAAGTATTGGCCAGTCACTGTGGTGAGGCTTGGCTCGAGTGCAGCCCAAATTGTTGTCTGAGCGCCTTGGCGTGGCGTCTTTATAAACATGTAGATGAAAGGTTTGAGGATGAAACCAGACAGGTACGAGTTGAAGAAAGACATATGACGTGTGATTTCAGTATCAACAAGTCCAGGATGTAGGGAATTAACTGTGACTCCAGTACCTAAGCATAATAAAAAAAAAGAATAATTTTCAATTATAAATTCACTTCATTTTTTAATATTAACTAACCTTCCAATCTTTTACTAAGTTCTTTGGTGAACAACACATTTGCTAGTTTGCTCTGCGCATACGCCCTTGCACCATCGTATGACTGCTCACTGTTGAAATCTTCTTTATTTATTTTGCCCCTCATATGCGCTATACTCGATACGTTTATTATTCTGCTAGGGGCGCTCTTTTTAAGAAGGTCTAACAGCAGGTTTGTCAAGAGGAAATGCCCCATGTGGTTTACGCCCAACTGAAGCTCTATTCCCTCCTCTGTAGTACTCTGCGGGCACCTCATCACTCCTGCGTTATTTATTAAAACATCCAGCCTCTTTTCCTCTGAAAAATCAACTATTAAAAAACTGACCTAACCAAGATCCTTTTAATTCCAATTTTTTTTTCTCATACCTGATAGAATTCTCTTAGCGAATTCTCTAATGGATTGTTGTGAAGAAAGATCACACTTTCGACAATAAACATATTTATTTTTTGTCTCCAAGACGATTTCTTCTCTTGCCTGTAAAATAAGAATTAATTAATTTTAATAAAATATTTGGTAATCACAATAGAAAGGGTTACTAGGTCGTAAGAAAACTTGGATAATTTTTTTGTTGTTTACAAAATATGGATCATACACAACATAATACAGGTTTAATTATATTTTTACTTTTTGTCCAATTCTTTAAGGTGCAAAGTCTACCGAGGCATTTAACCCCTCGGGTCTTGGTCACCCACCCTGCATAATATATATAAAGATAGTTATGATATTATTTAACATTAAAGTCCAATTACGGTTTTTGGGATGTTATCTTAATAAAATAGGTTGGAGAGTATTGCCAAATTGCCCAACTTGTGACTTCATATTGACACCTAGACATATAATACTAGAATGCATTGAATTTGAACAGCAAAAGGAACAGCTTGTGAATAACTTATAAACAGACAATATCATCAAGCACTTTAGTTTCGAAACACTTTTAGCTTTCAATTAACTAATTGTTTTTAATTTGGTCTTTAATTTTTTACAATCCATTAAAATCTCCTTCTAAGATATATTTGAAATACTTATGTATGCTTTATAATTTTTAGAGACAGATTTTGGAATGACTGGTGGAGAGGGTGGCCCGGCGGTGGGCTGGAGGTTCTCAGGGTGTGCACCGACAGGACATCTGGGTTAAATTGAACCCCTGTCTGGAGGGATTTGAATGGAGGCAGCACATGCATATCCCTTAGATAAGACGTAGGCCAAGTAAAAGTTAGATAGGAGTACCTCTGCTTCCCGTTCGGTGTGAACCGTCAAAAAAAAAAAAAAAAAAAAAAAAAAAAAAAAAAAAAAAAAAAAAAAAAAAAAAAAAAAAATAGAAAAGTTTTTTTGTAGTTTATTGTGTCTGATGATTAGGGTCTACCTGTTCTTAAACACTTACGATGGCGAAAGGTTGAAATGTGAGCCAGAACAAATCAGCCCGACTAACAGAATCAGAACGGACCCTCTGGATCAAGGTATAGTTTTTTTTTGTAATCAGAAAATCAAATTTACATTCTAACTTGACATTATTCTTATAAAATGCTTTGACAAAGAATTGTTGCTGCTTTTTTATAAATGTGTTTAACAGTTGCGTAGGACTAAGTACTTCTAGATTACCTATTATGTATTCAATTTCAAGTACTAAATTGTAAGTTTCCAAATGCAGTTTTTTTGGATATTGAGCATGTCTTTTTTAAACATGCTGACAAGTTTGCATGTTTTAATATTAAAAGGACTCTGTCTTCTATGCAAACGTATGCACTTTTTATGTATTGGAGCTAAACGACGGAAAGATACCATGTGGTTCTGCGTTCTAGAAGGAACCATTTCCGAGATTTACAACTGGCTAATTTTGTATAAAGAAACATTAATTCTTTAAACTGTTTATGGAGTAAAAGTCCATAAACTTGTATAATATGACTTAAAATGCCTATGACGTTATCTTATGAAGTTTCTGTTTTCAGTGTTAGAAGTATCAACCACTTTTTCACGTACAAACACTGGATTGAGGTGGACGATTTAAAAAACAACAATTAAAAAGTGGTTGCTACTTCTAATACTGAAAACAGAATCGGAAACGACCAACCTACAAATTTATTTATTAACAAATGTATTAATTACACCAGAAATAAATATTACCTTTTCACAGGATTTGAGATTCCTGCAGGCCATGATCACCCGGGCTTTCCTTTTGGCCAGTTCCCTCACCGTCTCTTTCCCGATGCCTGTGTTCGCCCCGGTGACAATGACAGTCTTGCCTTCTGCCGATACCGGATTGTCAAATCTTTTTCCACCGCAGTAGTCTCTGTAAGTACATTATTAAAGCAATTAATAAATTGTTGAGAAATATTTTTTTCTCCCTAAGTACTTGATAATTGCTCCTCCCCCAAATATAGTGCCAACGATGCTGGCTATAAGGACAGGCTTCTTGATAGAGGACATCGTGAAAAAAATTTAAATTTCCGAACAAATCGGAAATACTTGTAACATTTAAACCATGCAGATATTGTTACTGAAGAACCTTCTGGTCAGGCTATTGAGCAGTCTCAGTATAATTTTTGGTTGTTATAATTCAAACCCGCTATTGCAGTTTTTGAAACTAGAAAATCACATTTTGTGATTATAGATAAATGGGATGCTAGAGGAATTTATCAATGATAGTATTGATTTGCTAGAGTAAAGTTGTAATAGTTAAACAAGTTGGTAAAATGGGAAATTTTCTGGTAAACGGAGGGAGTTTTGACTGCAGGGAGACTGTGTCTGCGTCTGGTCTGGTTCTGGTCATTCTTGTCCAAGACATGTAGATGGAAGTTCCATCTGAAGTTTGATTAAAAAAAACGTGTTTTGCCTATTTTTCAATTAAAAAGGGCCCGACTGACGAATATGCAATAGTGATTATCATAAAAAACCGTTAAATTGAAAAAGAGACCGAACGAGGATTTATACAGTGTATATATCACAGTTGCGGGTTATCGTTGAGATAAAATCGATGTTATGAAAGCCTTAGTGCTTCGTCTCTTGTTCTTGGTCGCCGCGTTTGTACACGGGCTGCTCTCGTTGCACGTACTTTCAGCCGTCCTCGGCCTCCCGATCTCCGTCTTCAGGCCGTCTTCAGACTGAAATGGGCGCCGGCTCCAAATGCAATTCCTGCGGCTCTTCGGAGCTCGAGGTCGACCCCAGCCGGGGCGACACAGTCTGCACCAACTGCGGCACAGTCTTAGAAGACTCGGTCATAGTCTCGGAGGTGCAGTTCGAGGAGAATTCGCACGGCATCAGCTCGGCTATAGGACAATTCGTCAGTTCAGACTCGTCAGGCGGTTGCAGGGGGTTTGGAAACAGTAAGTAATAAGATTTATCCTAGTCCTTACTTCTACCCATAAAACAAGAAGATTAGAAGTTTTCAATACAGTCTACTGAGAGTTAAGTAGGCCATTTTGACATACACGTCAGTGCAGGTTTTTCCTCACTAGTTGTCAGCAGTATGATTATTCTCTCAATGTCACATTTAACATCTATCTCACAAGCTATTTTATCTGAAGATGATGAAATGAAACCTTGATTCGTCCTGTCAGAAGTAAATATCTAATGATCCACTTGTTCCATCTGTCAAACATGTTTTGGTAAAGATTATCTACTAAACACCGTCAATTCCAATACATTTCACTCAACAGACATTATCTTCAGCCTTTCTTGATGTCGGTGTGCTCAACATGTTGACTGCGGTGCCCTTACACATGTGTACATTCGTAAATGTAGCAGCACATTCATAGATGTCAGAAGTACGATGCCAGATGATTAATTTCTTCCTTCGGTCAAACTTGTTCTGGTCAAGATATACTAAACAGTGTCAAATCCAATATTTTTCTCTCAAAAGACATTAACTTTAGCCTTTCTTGATGTCGGTGTGCTCAACATGTTGACTGCGGTGCCCTCACACATGTGTACATTTGTAAATGTAGCAGCACATTCTTAGATGTCAGAAGTACGATGTCTTCATTTCTTCCTTCTGTCAAACTTGTTCTGGTCAAGATATACTAAACAATGTCAAATCCAATATTTTTCTCTCGAAAGACATTAACTTTAGCCTTTCTTGGTGGCTATGTGCTCAACCCGTTGACTGTGGAGCCCTCACACATGTGGACATTCATAAATGTCATAAGTATGATTCCTGATGATCCATGTCTTCCTTCTGTCAGACATATTTGGGTAAAATATACTAAACACGGTAAACCCAGTATTTTTCTCTCAAAAGACATTAACATTGGTGTTGATGTGCTCAGCCCGTTGACTGTGGAGCATCATGCACATGTGAGGCAACTACTTTTGCATTTCAAAGGCCTGGAAAATGTTTTGGCTTATGGCTTTTTAATGTGTTTCTTTAACTAGATTATTCAGTAAACTTCATCAGATTTGAAAGAGCTGTAAAAAAAATTATTTCAGTCTTTTATTTATTTTAATCAAACTAATATAAGCATATAATTAATATGAAACTTGAATATTAAAAATCAGGGATAAGGCTAAGAAGTGATATCTTCTGATCATCCTGATGCACCTCGTCCTTCTGACCAACTTATTTTTCATGTACTTAATTATTGAACATTGAAGAGTGTGAAATTTCACCTGTGCAAAAAGACAATTTTATTAACTTAATTTATATATATTAAAATAAAATAAAAAATAAATAAATGGCTTTATTGTAGTAGACCTTTTGCACGCATACCACTCAAGTGCTATCAGTTTATTAGTCTTTCATCATTCATAGTTATGTTAACATTTCACTGCCACAGGAACCTGTGTGTGATCTCGACTTTCAATAAGCAGATTAGTGTAATTGTATAAATTAAGCCATAGGTGCAGAATAGATCTATTCAGGTCGAGGTGCAAATGGCCTCGTGGCCGTCTCTTTTATTCCCCTGTAGGTTTAAAAAATGCAGTCAAGTAACATTCACATAATTGTTTATATGTATATATACACTTGCAATCACAATAATGTTGCCAAACAGCGATTTCTGATGGATTTTTGAAATGCTGGCTTGTGGAACGTTAAAAGAGACAAAAATTTCACTATAAATTATGTGGTAGGTAGATTGTGGGATGTTAACTATTTTTTTATAGTAGTAATTTATTTATAATGTTTTCAAGACCTCACCTGCCCCATCCTCAGCTATTGAAAATGATAGATCAGAAAATGATATATTATTAATTGGCCACACTCTTAAATTTTATGCTAATACATATTTTTTCCCTTTTACACATGACTTTTTTAGCTGTTTCTGACTTTTCTAGCTGTTCTGACTGTTTTAGCTTGCCTTATGTCTGTGTTAAAACTTTTATTGATCTAATATTTAAAAAAAGTTACAGCGAAATTAGGATGATTGAATTGCTGGTTAACAATTATATTTTCATTTAATGTTTTAAGATGTTTCTCTTATGATTCTTACTTATATTTAGATTTTCATTCTGGAGGTGTTCGCGAATCGAGGGACATCACACTTGAAAATGCAAAACGCGGTATAACCACATTATCGCAGAATCTAAGGTATATCTTTATTAAGTTTATGTCAGCTCATTTTATCATCGTTGTATCCTCAATTCTCAGGCTGAATCAACACTGCATCGACACAGCTTTCAATTTCTACAAAATGGCTCTTAGCCGGCATTTAACGCGAGGGAGGAAACACACTCACATTGTAGCAGCTTGTGTATACATAACTTGCAGAATCGAAGGGACACCTCGTATCCTTTTTAATTAAATAATTATACCATTTATAAATGAGTGGAAAGTTTGTTTTTCGTCGGCTGAATAATAAATTCTCCTTTTTTCCCTTAATAAATTTTACAGATCTGCTCATAGATTTCAGTGACGTACTGCAGATCTGTGCTTTCGAACTCGGTCGAACTTACCTCAAGCTTTCCCAGGCGCTGTGCATCAATGTTCCTGCTTTGGGTGAGTATTTATATTAATACCAAACAATAAAATCACAGTATTGATATGTCAGTTCAACAAATAATTAGAATAAATATAATCTCATGTACATTGTTCGACATCTTCTTGCTTACATCCTTCCCACATTTTTATTACTTCACCGATTAGTTATTGAAACAAGTTTTGCCATGTTATTTCATCTAATATATGAAAAACTTTACCTAGGTATATTCTACTTTTGCATCTTATTTATTTCCATTTAATCCATTCATTTTTAATACTTTTAAGTTAAAATCTATTCTATAATGTGCTTTTCATTGTGTTCACTCGTGAAATTTACAACTGTAGTCTGAAGGATGTATTTGGATTCTTATCAATCATTTTGATCCTAATTGGGGTGGTTTGTCAAACATTTCGCTATCTTGGTAATTGTTGTATGTTTTAAAAACTTATCTCAAAGGCTTATTTTCCATAATTTGGTTAGAAATATTTTTGTTGCAAATTCAGTAACACTAAAAAATGATATTAATATTACTTTTAATTTAAAACAACTCCAAATGATAAAATATATCAAATTTTAATATTAATGTGTTAAAATTCACATAAGAGTTTCTTGAATGTGAATTTTAAGAGAGTTTCTTGTATAAAGAAAGCAATTTCTGTCTCACATAGGAGGGTTAAATTCCAAACATAGACATATGTTTAGACAACTTAGCTTTACAGAAGGGGGCTGGGCAATTTAACTTTATACAAGGGAGACTAGAACAACTTAACTGTACCCAGGGGGAGGGACTGGACAACTTAATTTTCCATAAGGGGACTAAGACAACTTAACTTTGCATGAGGGGACTGACTGAACAACTTTTTGGACAAACCCCTTGTGGGCAAATTTTCCACAAGGTTACTGAAACAACTTAACTTTACATAAGGGGACTAGCCAACTTAACTTTGCATTAGGGGACTGAACAACTTAACTTTACACAAGGTGGACTGGGCGACTTTACACGAGGAGACTGGACAACAGCCTTACAGAAGGGGAATAGACTTAGATCTTTACATGAGTTTGTCTAAGGGAACTAGATAATTTAATTTTACACAAGGGGACTGTGATGATTACTTGTTTAAAATTCTAAGGAAAATGCTGTAATTCAAATATAAGAATGGCTTGCAAGGAAAATATGAGAATTGGATGCCTTAATGCTCTACTTTGTCCTTGTGGACCAAAAATACAAAAAATTTTTGTTGAAGAATTGTTTCAACCCTCAGATGCATTAGAATGTCATAATAACCAATGACAGTTGAACAGATTTCACTTATTTTTATATATTTACATCCTTTAAATTTATCTTATTTTATTAATATATATCGATCAGAAATATACAATTAAATAATATTTCTTTTACTAGTTAATATTTATTTAAAACTCTAGTAACTTTTCACTTCAGTTTCTGGCCTCAAATCAAATATTTATAAATGAAATAACATATTTGTATGAAAAAAAAAAATATACAGAAAAACAAACATTCAAACAATTTAACATTAAAGTTTTAGAACTCATTGTTAGGAACTTAACATGAAACAGTTTTTATTTACAGTGTCAATCAATGTTTAAGTACATATTTAAAATGTAAAAACAGAAAACTTTTATAAGAGGAAAGACTAGAAGTTTTATACAAATTCCTCGTCATGGAAATATATCACACACAGTCTAAATTTTATAATTTTTTCTTTCTCTAGTTCCGATTAAAATCACTGAGAAAAATTATCACAATTTCTCCCTTACCAATGGCCATAGGCTATAGTCAAAATTGTATCCATTCTAAAAAATATACAATATCATCTACAATGCTACACTTTTTAAGTATGTCATGTGTTCTAGATTTTTTCTTTCATTTGTCACCCTTGTCTTTTTCATTACTGTAATCTAATTATTTTTAAAAGTCTACAATTTGAATATCGAAAGCTCTTTTTTTTCTTATTTAAATATTAGAATAACAATAATTGTTTCTTTTTTCTCTAAAATTCATATTTTTTGTCTGTAAAATTATTAAAATTTTAGAATTAATGAATAAAAAGCCAGTCAAATATTGTAAACTTGTATAAGTTCTTGCTGGCTGGTTTTATCTAAGATAAAAACAATATTAGCAATCGTTCTCAGTTTTGTGGAGTCTCTTCTACAGGCAGCTGTGTCGGGCCATAAAATATAAGATCAGGTATTTGCCCTCCTTGCACACCAGTGCCATTAGTTGATTCAGAAGAACATTGAAACTGAAAAGTCACTTGTGAAGCCGTAACATCTGAAAGGCCTTCCTGCCCAAAGTAGCTCAATTCGCTGCCGTCCAATACTGCAGAAGCGGTGTAATGTGTGTCAGGCTCGATTTGAACAGGGTGCTCGAAGTAAACGTGGAAAGTATTAGAGGAGCCGTCAGAAAAAAACTTTGTCTCATTCAGAGCCAATACACGCCCGAGACGTTTCAACTCTATTCGAACGGAGTAATCAGCTGCTCCGTTTGACGACCCATAGAGACCGAATCCAACAATGAATATTCGTTTATCAACGCTGAATTGAATTGAATCACACCTTCCTCTGTATCTCCACTGGTTGCTTCTGTAAGCACATGACTGGAACCTGTGACAGACCTAAAGAAAAAGAAAGAAAACATTACCAAATTGTATGCCAGGCTGTAAGATAGAATTTTTACCTGTGCTTTTAGGCCGGCCCTAGGCTTAATGGGAAACTGAAGTGTGGGTTTAGTTTGCGCAGTAAAATGCAGAAATATGTCGATGGTTTCCTCTTTGGTGAGAATACCTGATTGTGCTGGCCCGTTTGCAAACTCGTCCAGGCTCATTGTCGGGATCCTGACGAGCCTCAAAGATTCGCCCAGAGCCGACCTTCTGTTTGCTGGCGTAGGGGGTATGTCCCGTCTAAGGCATTCGGCACCTGCCCAAGCCAAAGCTGCTTCAAAAAGATGGGTTTCCTTACAGTTGAGAGTCTCTCTCGATAATACCGATGCAAAAGTCCTTGAATCGATATCACAAAACCCATCCGATCTGAGTGCCATCTCAGCCTAGGATAATAAAAAAAATCTTTTTTAACTTGAGTGCTTTTTCAAAGTATTCTTTCTATTCTTCAATGTTTTAGAAAACTTATAGATTGTTAAAATTTTAGGCACTACTTGACCTAAATTAAACCAAAATTCTAATAAGTTCCTTAACAACATAGGTTTCAATTGATATTTGTTTGCTTATTTTTTTCCATATCTTAAATATTATTATTATAATAAATTTTATATGGTTAAGTTCTGCCAAAATCGTGACAGCTTTTGGTCTTTGGTTTGAGTTTTAAAATTTGAGGGTAATTTAAATTTTAATATTGCCTAGCTTCAATAGTGAATAAGTATCACGTTTCCACAGTGATTTGAATGACATTGTACAAAAACCTGTTTAAAAATGTTGAATATATTTTCTATGATATATATACACAGACACTACAAACATCTAATCAAGTCAATAATGAACACAACTTATATAATAATTTTGGGTTATATCCCCAAAGTAAGGAAGTTTTGGCCTTGACTAGCTACTTTGGTCATGGTTCCATTACAGTCTGTTTAAAATGGCGAAGGATTCGTTAAGAATCTCCTGTGTTCTACCTGTGCGTCGATGACTTCCCAGCACCTGGACATTAGGTCCGGTTCCTCGAAGAGCCGTGATTGTGAAAGAAGGAGACAGGCATTTTTGGCCGTCAATGATGTTTCCAAATAAGCGACGCAGGCCCTCGCCAGATGTGGTATTATATACTTCTTGGCTGCATACAGAGTGGCGAGCACCGTGTCGGCTTCTAGGCAAATTTCATCACAGTAGAGATATCTGAAATATTTATATTAAGCTTTTAACCGATCTGCAAGTTAAACACTTTTCATCTCTTTAAACCAATATCTTAAACCCCCACACTTTATGAAGTATGATAAAATATAATTGAAAAATTTCCTTATATATTACATACATAAATTACTCACTTGAGCATGGTAAGGAAAGCTAAAGGTTCGACGTCAGGTACTTCGATTTGTTCCTTATTCTCTGCCAGTCCACCATAGAACATGGCATAGAAGACTGAGCTCCCCGTTGCTAAGACATATTTGTGTGCTGGGATCCTCTGAGTATGACCTGTTTTCAAAGAAATTCATTAAATATATTTTTCACCAAATAAACGAACTGTTCAAAATTACCAGTAGATCCGACAACGAAAGTAATATCAGCCATGAGCTCGTTGTTGAACATGGCCGCATTTCTTTCTCTGACTGTTGGTTTAGCAGCCTGCCAGTTTGGGTCGAGTGTCGACAATTCGGCCTCAGCGTCATCGGCGATAGGGGGCAGTACGAAAGTAGTCGAAGGCGTAGACGAAGAGGCATTAGAAGTTGCAGGGTTGGGCGAAGCTAGAGGCGACGTAGGGGCAGACGCCGGCTGTGTAACTTGCACAGACTCTCTCTGTGAGATGCCACCTCCCCCTCCTCCTCCGCCATTCTGCGTTGGAGGAGATAAGCCTCCATTGTTGATTGTTTCCACTAAAACAGAAATTCAGCATTATTAATTTTTACCGAAACACTTCTTAAAATTTTTATTCAAAAAGGTCAACCATAATAAATCGCTCTAATATTCAAGCAATAAAATTAATTTATGTAAATAATCTTAGTTTCACTCCCTCCCTGTCATAATTAGCCATACAAACTTGTTTTTCTGCATACATTTTGACTGTATATTCAAACTTCATCTTATACGTATTTTATTTCATAGTAGCATAATTAATTATTAATATGAGTGCACTATTCAGAATGAAAATTTCAATACTGTTTCTCTTCAAGCTATAAACATGTTTTTTTTTTTTTAATTTATTCGCTGATCGTGATTGATCTGGAATACCATAAATTATGAGAAAAGTAAACATGTTTGCGATAAAGAGGCCTTTTACCTATCATTTTCATTTTAAATATATTCAAGTGTTTATTTATTATTAAAAGAGGGTTATTGCATTATCATTCAATCAAAAATGTATTCTTTCACTACTTAATAACCATACTCATATCAATAGTAATGGAGTAAATAAGTAAATGATTCAATGATCAAATGATTAGTCAATGTAAGTTAGCCTGTATATGAAGGAGGAAGAATGATTGATTAAAAGTTAAGTATGTAATAAATAACATTACAAACTTACACATTTTATTTCTCATGATTCATTGACTCATGTCAATAGATATGGAGTGATTATGTGAATAATTCAGTTATTAAATGAGAGATGAATGTAAGAACGAGTTGCCATAGAAAGTTCAGTACATATTTGAGTAAATACGCCGAATGAGCCTATTTTAAATACACCACATCTGTGGTGTGGTGGTATGTTTTTAGTCAATAAAATTAAATAATAAATGAAATCAATAACTATATCATTCATTTTCACATTTACATAAACAAATGATTCGGCGTGGAAATTATTAGTGAATGTAAGCGTGCCAGTGTACAAAGGAGCAAATGAGCGATTGAGCAAAAAAAAAAAAGTAATATTTTAAATATATATGTCTGTAGTGTGTGTGTGTGTGTGTGCGTATCTGTTAATAAAAGTAAAATAATGAATTAAATTACTAACCAAATCATTCACCCACACATTTACATAAGTGAATGATTCAATGAGCAAATGAATGGTAAATGAAAGAGTGAATGACACTCCAAAACGTCCATATTTTAAATAGGATTTAGTTTCTCACTATTCATTAACTTATGTGAATAGTTATGGAGTGAATGTGCGAACATTCAGTTAAAAAATAAAGATGAATGTAAGAGTGCTGGCAAAGAAAGGAGTGATTAAATATTTGAATAAATACTCCAAAATGTTCCTGTTTTAAAGACCTGTAACTGTATGTGTGTTTATTAATAAAAGTGACAGTGAATTACATCACCAAACAAATCATTCACTCACACATAAGTGAATGGCTTGTGAATGTAAGTTACCAATGGCATATGAAGGAGCAAATGAGTGATGGAGCAAACTGAATGTTCCATTTTATCTTTGAGTGTGACTGTGTTTATATAATAAAAATAAAATAGTAACATTACAAACTTACACATTTACTCTCTCACTATTTATTTATATCGACAGTGAATGAGTCAGTTAGCAAATGATATATGGAATGACTTGAGTGCGTGATTAATTCAACACACCAATAATGTATATGTATATTTATTGAATACTAGTAGGGCCATGATGACTTGTCACAAACTTTTTTTTTTTAAATTAAATGACATATGGCATTTCAAATGTTTGGTTTGTTTGGGCCATATATTTAGAAAACGTATCCACTTGTTCTAAGATAGAAAAAAAACCTTTTGCCATTTTTTCTTTGACTTGAAGTGTTTCAACTATTAAGGTCTTTTTTTTGAAATGAAGAAGAAAGAAAGAGAAAAATACAATGGAATCTTCTTAGGGTCAGAATGTTCGTTTATGTTTTTGAATTTTTTATTTTATTTATCATGTTTGATTTATAAAATGTTTCATTTTTTAAATGATGGAACTTTTTAAAGTTGATTTTTGCCTTTGTGCTTAATTAATCAAAATGGGTGAAATTTTTATCTCCCCACCACTTGTAAAGTGGATCACCATCGCGTTTAGCCTAATTATTATATGTAATATAAAATATTTTTCAAAAACAATTGTAAATCCTGGTTTCAGTTTATTTATTCAGAAAATGGAAAAATAGGAAAGATGTATTAATAGTAAAGACTCGAGCAGACCAGAGGAGGAGCGGGTAAGACGCCAAAGCCTGTCGTCCCTGCCCTAATAATCGATAACTGGGCCCGTTCGTCCTAGAGGTCCGTCCCAAACGCCAGACAAAGCCCATTGGAAATCTTCTGTTGGAAACAGCGTCGTGAAATCGGTCGAAACGGACAGAATAAAACTCATTATACACAAAATTAGAGACGCTCACCGTTCACCCACTGATTAGACTGGAAGACGGAAATGTCCTGAAGCCTTTTCATCGGTTTCTGGGCGATTTTCGAGTAGAGATTCGACATGGCCATTTTCACTGGGTTGACCACCGGCCCCGGCGAGACTCTGAGCGGCAGGTGGACGACAGCCCCTCCGCCCTGAACGACATCAACAGAGACACCACCGTAAATACGCACGTCGCACCGTGCCGTAACCCGTAACCCGTAACCCGTTTTACGGCAGAACAATCGACCATATGATCAGGCGGGGTGGGGGGCACCGACACAGCTACCAACCTTTGACTTCTCTCTCCTCCGTCGATATCCATGGGAAAACGCGTCAAAAAATTATATTTTCATCATCGTTTTAAAGATTTGAAAAACTTTGTCCTTTATGGCCTTCGAGAAGAGATTCGACATGTATTTCTTTCAGGCGTGATCCACATTTCATAGTTGGCCGCTTCCACAACGCCATGACCTGCCATCAATGATAATTTTGATCAAACCGCATTTGTGAGTCTACACAATGCAATTTCACAACTTTGTCTCTGAAAAAGTTATAAAAGAAAATCTAATTATTGCATATTTTTAAAAGTACCAACGTTCGTTCGATAGCAATCAATCACATATTCACTAAGTCAATATGAATCCTTCACATATTAACTCCTTCAGTATTGACTTATTGGAAGTCAATAAGTAGCGAAAGGGTTAAATGTGCGAGGAATGATTTAGTTTTTTCAAATACATACACTCCCCCTCGCACACGCAAACGCGCCCGCCCGCTCGCTCCCTCCCACCCTCTCTCTCAAACTCTCTCACTCACTCATTCACTCACTCCCTCACTCACTCACTCACTCACTCACTCACTCACTCACACACTAACTCACACACTGTGGTTTATGTTGAATAAAGAAACATTTTGGTGTGTTTCCTCAAGTATGAACCTCTTATTCAGAATTGATTCATTTTCCTATTTATTAGATAATACTCCTTTATTAACCATTAATTTGCTCATAGAATCATTCACTTATGTAAAAGTGTGCGTGAACGATTTTGTTATTGATGTTATTAAAAATATTATTATACTTTAAGTAATCAGACACACCACAGATAGATAGCATCTGTGTGCACATTTACTCAAATATGGACTCACTCTTTGTAGGTCAACTCGCTCTTACATTCATCTCACATTTGCTAACGGAATCATTCACATATTCACTCCACAACTATTGATATAAGTTCATAAATAGAGCGTTGATTTCATAAAGCCCGCTATTTCTCCCCATCATGGAGACGAATAGAAAAGATAGACTTAGTGTAAGATGAGATAGGGCTGACCGGCCCATTCTTGTTTAGAAAAGGTGAGAAGAAAAACGTGGCCCGTATTAAGTTTTAAAATTGATTATAAAGTGTTATCAGTTTGTTTTTTTATTTTAATTTAGTTAAAGGTACATTGTACACAACACACAGAGTAAGTGTTTCTGTTTGTGCATGCACAAGAATTTTGGTTAATTTTTCCTTTGTGTATTTTTCTTATTCTTATTGTAAGCATTAATCTTTTTATAATTTGTGATTGGGAATTTATTTTTTTTAAATATAATTTGTGATTAAGCATTGATTTTTTTTTTATAATTTATAATTACTATATATTTAGTCTAGAAGATGAAGTTTTGTGTTCTATTTATACATGATTCACTGAGGTACGATCCTCCGACTATAAAAAAGTCAAATAATCACTACAAATAGTGGTAGCAGAGCGTGGTTGAGCAGTGAATTTTGGTATCTTAGTTTGATCATCAAGAATCTTTCTGATTTTTTCGTCTTTCTCTAATTGTTTTTTCTTATTTCTTTCGATTGCAAACCTACAGTGACTATTTTAAGACTTTTGTCAATATTACGATCCATCTTTTCATTATTATCGCTCTGTGGCAAAAAGCTCGAAACAGTCGATGATTTCATAGCTCTAGTCTGCCTAGGCATTGGCCTGGCCTTAAATTTAAAGGGTTCAGTCACTGTTTTAATTGATTCCTTTGGCTTAACTTCAGTCAATTTAAAAGGCACAGGGACAGTGGATGGCTTTGGTGGTGGTTTGTTCATCACTGGGGGTCTGAATATATTTTTATTTACAGGTTTCGCCTTTACAAGAGTGTTTTCTACTTGAGAAGGTACAGGAGGTGGACGTGTTCTAAGCTTTGTTGAATTTTGGTGAACGAGCCACTGTTAAAAGTAAATTTGTCCTTACTGGAGCAAATCTTATAGATTTTGACTTAAACCTAGGCGGAGTATCATTGTGAAAATGAAATATCTTCTCATCCAAGGTCTGATATTTTCCCCCATACTTTATCGGAGAACGTTTTCTTTTTAGTGATTTTCTGTCCACTACTCTGTTTCTTAACTCCTCAATTTTAGGACTCTTGAAAACATCATGTCTTGAATTTAACTGAATGCCTTCGCGTGTGGTAACTAATTTATTTTCCTCCTTTTTTAACCCTTCAGTTTCAGCCTCTTTATCCAAATTTGAAATTCGCCTTTTGGCTTTCATAATAGGTCTCCCTCCTTTGAGATATTTGCCATTGCCATTACT